TCGCTAGTTAATAACATGCTCTGATAGACAATTATTTGACGTTTTCTGCTTCGACTGTTTCACTTTTTCTCGTCTCTCTTTCTCTTTAACGCTAAGAAAGTGCCCGGAATTTACCATTTTTAATGGCGGTTCCTGCAACCTGTTCTAGTTACAGTGACGTCATGGCATTCAAATGGAAAGAAGTTTATTAAGGAAAATAACACGCATGACGTCCCAACACAAAGTAACGTTTTTGGGAATTTGAACGTTGAACGTCGCGCCAAGAGTTAACTCCCTTGAAACTGTATCGGATGCCCTTAACTGTAAATTCAACAACAGTTACCGTTTTCTTGATGATATTTTTTCGTTAAATAATCAAAAATTCTCTAAATTTACTACCGATATTTACCCAAAGGAACTTACCTTAAATTAATCAAATATTAACAGCAATATGTGTCCTTTCTTTAATTTAGACATTTCAATGTTACACCAGAAACTCTACAAAAATTGTTAATTTTCCTTTTTTGGACGGTGATGTCCCTTTGGCACCATATTACGGTGTTTATATATCCCAACTTGTACGCTATGCCCGTGTCTGTAGTGACGTTTTGGATTTCAATGAGCGTAATATATGTTTTGCAAGTTTTGCTGTACCTGTAGAAAACTGATTTCAAACGGAATAGCACATCCTAAATTTTACAGTGATGTTGTTAACCAAGCCCGGAAATTTAGATACGATCCGGGTAAACTTATAAATCCTTTGAATAAACTTATTGTAAAAGGTTACCAATTCAACACTGTAATTAAATCTTTGAATATTGTTTTTATTGGTATAAATCTTGATTTTGTTATCAATAAATTAAACCCATACTAAATATTATTGTTATACACATATGTTCTTTCACAGTACTACAATCTGTCGATACCTATATTTTGGCATTGCACAAGGTCATGTTTTTCTCTGATTGTTAATGACGTCTTTACACTAAATCCATTGGATGTTGGATGTGTACTGATTGATATTTTAGTGTTAGATACATGATTTTTATTAGTTATTATTGGCTTTGAACTAGCTGTCAGTAACTGCGAGTACTCTCAGATCTGTACTTAGTGTCTTTTTTTTGTTAGGGATGAGGGATGGATAAATACCCTGCCATTTCCGGTCTGTGTTTTTGTTTGATGTTTTTCTGCATTGTATCGATCTGATGAGTTAAGTAAACTGATGTTGAAAGATTGTTATTATGTTGTCCTGTTACACTACTGTTCCAGGTTAGGGGAGGGCTGAGCGCTCACAAATATGTTTAACCCCGCCACATTCTTTGTGTGCCTGTCCCAAGTCAGGAGCCTGTAGTTCAGTGGTTGTCGTTGGTTCATGTCTGTCATATTTGTTTTTCGTATTTTGTTTTGTTATAAATTAGGCCGTTGGTTTTCTCAATTGAATTATTTCATCTTTTTAATATTGGAGCCTTTAATAGCCGACTTTACGTATGAAGTTTTCTCATTTTTGAAGGCCGTACGGTTGTCTATAATTACTTACATCCACTTCATTTGAACTTGGGTGGATAGATGTCTCATTGGCAATCATACCGCATCTCCTTTTTTTTATATATAAAATAATGGGGTGTTAAACTATGCAAGTGATTGCTGTTTGCATTACGCAGCAACAGCACAAAAAGGCTTTATCGCGGCAATGCTAACATACAAAGAATAGAGACCATTAGAAAAAATGAAAAGAAAAAAATGACCAAAATGAATTAAAGAATAACAAAAAATGATTGATTAAATGGTTGATTGATATCGTTTAATGCCATTTTAGTTTTTATTGGTGGAGGAAACCGGAATGCCCGGATAAAAAACACAGACCTTAGGCAGGTAAACTAGAAAATCTAGTCAATTAAGATTTAAGTCGAACGCACATCCACTCGAACTCATAACCTCAGCGTTGACAGGCTAGTGATAACTGCCAATATATTACTTAGACCACTCGACCACAGAAGCTCTACAAATTTGGAGAACCCTCCAACCAAACTCTCATGTTACTTGAGATGGTTTGTAAGACACGTTTTCTTTCGCTGTCATTGGTTATAATAAATTCCATAATACAGGACAATTAATTGTAACTACAGTTTTGTTGTTGTTCCTTTCAGACTTTGTAGCCCGAGTTCGGATAAGGTTACAGGGGGCATAAAATTGTAATAATGGTAATAATTCAAAAACAAGTGCAATAGCTAGTTAACAATTGTTCGTGTGACTGCATGTAGAACTGATGTGATAACTTGAATTTATTAGAGGAAAATTTATCATAAATGCATATAATATTCATTGAAATTGATCATGAATTCGTTCTTACAAATATTATAAAATCAATAACAAACATTGAGAACTTAATTGATAATAGAATTTTATGAGAGTGGTACGATTTTTCCTTTCCTTTTGTTGATTTTCCATTACAGTGTTTCTCAAGCTCACGAGTATCTCAAATCATGTTGCCTTTTGATCTTAAATTTACATGGATTTCAAAAACCCTTATACATGACGCAAAACTACATAGTACTCCAAATAGATAGGACAAAGGTTTGGCTAAAAATATGTTGCAGTTTATGAGTTGTTGCGGAATCCATATACAGGAGTTACATACGAATGAACAGATGTAGGACCTTCCTAACGAACAAACACAAGAAGACATCTTGAAAACTACATATGTTCCATAAGGATACAAATGTTTACAAAATTTGGCTGATCTCTTACAGTAGTATAATAGCCCAATTTTCCGACATAAACACCCCCACACCCCTCAATCCATAGAACTTTTGTCTGACAACCCATCTGTCTTACAAATATAAGAAATCCATTCTTATATAAGGAACAAGTAACAAGATTTCTTTGTTATGGCATTTTAAAGGGTATGACATGTATTTGGGTAAATAAAAAAGAGGTTACTTTATGTTGGCAAGGCTCACTTAAAATCGCTGATGATTGTTGAACTATAAGGTTTAACAAGTTACTAGTACACAATGAGTGGCAGAAACTAGAAAATATAACAACACCCAAAAGGTGACAAATGAATGCAAATGTTTGCGAAATGACACATTGTTTGTGAAATAACGCATTGTTTGATAAATAATGAAAAAGTTAGCAAAATGATGTTAAATCTCTGTGAAATTATGAAAATTTGGCGAAAAAAACCCTGCAAAATATTTGCGAAATCGTGCAAAATTTTGCGAAAAAAACGGAAAGGTTTGCGAAATAACACAAAAGTTTGTGAATCAACGCAAATGTTTGCGAAATAACGCAAAAAAATCAAAAAAAAGTCTGATTGTGTGACAGTTACATTCGACGGTAGAATATACATTTGAGTCTCAATTGTGTGTAGCCAGCCGTTGAAAGAAGCTTGGTCCGCGTGTACATCTATGAGACCAGCCTGCAATACTATTCATGAGATAGACAGCGTTCTATAAAAAGCTGCTGGAAACTAGTTATACTAAGAATTATTTGCATAGAGGTGGTCATTACGGCTTTAGGACTGTATAGTTTATATTAAGTCAACAATACAAACCTATACAGCTTGTTAACACTTTTCTACATTTTAAATCCATGCTATGTATTATTGTTTGGGAAAATGCGGAAGATAAACATTGAAATAATATTCTCATAGGAAAATGACAGCAATTATAAATAAAACGGGCTGGTCATAAAACCATTTTCAAACCATTCTCAAAGATAATCTTGAAATTCTTCAGTTGGGAATGAAATGATGCCATTCTTTGTTATGGACAAACACATTATTTTACTGAATCATTTCTCGATAGTTTAGCGAAAATAAGCAGGGAAATATTTCAAAGTTTCATTTAAAACATGAATTAACTAGTATTAAAACTACAAAAATGCCTGTAATTTCTGCTTTCAGTGTAATGTTGTAATTTTGATAGCAAAATAACTTAGTCCATTTATCAGTAAAATGAAGAAAATGAATAAACTGAAATCAAAATTTTATTCAGGGTGCTATCTTTTGGTTACGAACAAGTATCTGTCTAAACTCTGAAAAATTCCATGAAGGTATGATAATGTTATTCAAATTTTAAAATTTCCTGAATCTCAGTGAATGTTTGAAAAGTATTCAAACGCCATCAGGAACGGGAACTATATTACAACTATCACGTCTGTTCTTCTCTCAAATATTTCCGACACACTTTCCCGGGAGCTACTTAATAGTCTAAACAGAAAGATTTCATACTTGGTCGGCAACTTGAAAAGGGCGTGATTTTTTTTCTTTTTTCTAATCTGTCAGAAACCTACGTCCTGTTTTCCTAAACTTTGAATTACAAGTGAATGTATGCTTAGCTAAACAACGCTGTCAGACACACACTTCTTGTTTTCCTATACTTTGAATTACAAACGAGTGTAAGTGTATGTTTATCTAGACAACGATGTCAGACATGTACCTATTTCTTGCTTTCCTAAATTTCAAATTACAAGTGTTTAGCAAGACAACACTGTCAAACATACCTCAGTCTTGTTTTCCGATACAACTAAAAACAAGTGAATGTATGGTTAGTAGGACAACGCTAACAAGTATGTTCTTATTTCCTGCTTTCATATGCTTTGAATAACAAGTGATATGAGTGTATGCTTAGTTTGTTTACAACTGTATCAGACACCTGTCTTGCTTTCCTATATTTCGAATTACAAGTGAGCTTATAAGTTATTGCCCTTGAAAGATAACTCTTTTTTTAAATTTTACAGTTTTTGAACAAACTATAGTAGCTAGTGAGAAACAGCAAAAGAGCAAAACTGTTCGGCATAATAAGATCACAAATCAGTCATTTATTGTCGAAAGTATCAACTCGTTAAAGAAGTTATTTTCACTGAAAGATGGTTTTTCTATTTTTTGCATTATTGTCAATTCTATAGAGTTAAAGAGAAAATTTATAAAAGCAAAAATCAACAAAATTAGATCAAGTAAGTCAACATGGTCGAAGTGTCACACTAGTTATAGGATTTATTGCCATTAAATGGCACAAGGATAATAGTTACGCTGAACGGTGCCCACTGGTCACCTGAACAGAAACGGTTAAAATTGAGTCTATACGCGACAAAAAATAGTACATGATTTCCGGTTTAAAGTGAAAGTACGTTACTAAGGGGATACTCAGTGCAGCATACTCAGTTTATAATTGCTGTTATACAATACGGATATGAGCTTAATGCAAAGTTCTGGAATCACCATATTTCAAAGGATACTGTTGAGAGAGGTACAAAAAGTAAAAAATAATACACAAATAATCAATAATCATAATGATTCACTCAAAACAAACAATTGAAAATGCATAGAAGATTCATCTGTAACTCTATTAACGAGTGATATGGCTTATTTTTCAGAAAAAAAAATAACCTAATGGCCTATATTGCACTCTCATGAAATATAACTAAAAAGATGGTATGCCTCGAACTCGGGTACCTTTAAACTGCCATTGGTTACCTCTGGTCACCCTATACAGAAAATAATAGTGCATACAGTTACACTGGTCATTTGATACAAAATGCATAGTAACTTTATTAACCTTACTTCCTTTGCAGATAAATTTACAGTGGTTCTTCTGATTAATTGACACAGATATAGATATTGAATGGCCCTTAAACAGATATTGAATTTCTATACATCTTGTCACCTTTTACATAATTAATTGTGGTGACCTCTGGTCACCCAACACATGTATTGAATTGCAATAAACATTATAAGATATTGAATTTGGTTACCTCTTGTCAACCCGGCAAGCCTTCACAGATATTGAATTTTGTTGCACCTTGTCACCTTTTACATAATTAATTGTGGTGACCTCTGGTCACCCTACACATATATTCTATTTTTTATCTTTAGACACTGTGCATAACTATTGAATTTATTTAACTTTAATAACCCTACTTAGATGTTTAATTTGGTAATATATGGACACCCTACCAAGATGTTGTATATGGTTAACCCTAATCACTCTACAATGATGTTGAATATGGTTACCTCTGGGCACCCTACAAAGATATTGAATATGGTGACCTCTGGTCACCCTACCAAAATTTTGAATATGGTTCTTTCTGGTCACCCTACACATATATTGAATAAGGTTACCTCTAGTCATCTTACAAAGATATTGCATATGGTTACCTCTGGTCACCCTTCACATATACTGAATATGGAAACCTCTGGTCACCCAACACAGATGTTTGAATTAGTTATAAACTTGCCATCCTACACAGATAATGATCACGGTTATATCTGGACATCTTTCAAATACTTTTAATTGAGTTATGTTCGATTTCAAAACCTATATACTGGCTTTAACTACCTACATACATAAATTACTAAAATATTGAATTTGGTGACCTCTGGTCACCCTATACATATATGAACTTTAAATACCTCAAGTTACCCTACACAAATACTGAATTGGGTTACCTCTGGTCACCCTTCACATATTTTGAATGTGGTTACCTCTTATCTTACACAGATAGAAAACTTGATTACCTCTAGTCACCGTGCATAAATATTTAATTTGGTTACCTATAGTTAGCCTACTTAAATATTTAATTTTGTAAACTTCGGTCATAAATTGAACGTGGTAACCTCTGATCAACGTACACAAATATTGAAAAAGGTAACCTCTGGTAAACAATTACAGATATTGAAAATGGTTACCTCTGGTCAACCTACAATAAATTGGCTTATATTACCTATGGTTACAATTCATAAATAATGAATTTGGTAAGCATCGGTTATCCCGGTTCACACTTTTGCGCTACTTTTATAATTAATATAGCAACTTCTGGTCGCTGTACACATACATTGAATTATATTGCCATTGTCAACACACACATATATATATAGCAATTGCCTTTTTTGAATGTGGTAACCTCGGGTCGCCATACACAGATATAAAGTTATGTATCTTTAGACACCATACTTAAATATTGAATGTAGATACCTTTATTAAACCTACTAGTAAGCTGTTTATTTTGGTAATCTCTGGTCACACTGCCAAGATGATGAATGTGGTTACCTCTGGTCACCCTCCAAAGATATTGAATATGGTTACCTCTGGTCACCCAACCAAAACTTTGAATATGGTTACCTCTGGTCACCCTACACATATATTGAATAAGGTTACTTCTGTTCACCCAACCAAAACTTTAAATATGGTTACCTCTGGTCACCCTACTAAGATATTGAATAGGGTGACCTCTGGTCACCCAACCAAAACTTTGAATATGGTTACCTCTGGTCACCCTACACAGATATTGAATAAGGTTACCTCTGGTCACCCAACCAAAACTTTGAATATGGTTACCTCTGGTCACCCTTCACATATATTGAATAAGGTTACTTCTGGTCACCCAACCAGAACTTTAAATATGGTTACCTCTGGTCACCCTACACAGATATTGAATAAGGTTACCTCTGGTCACTTTACAAAGATATTGCATATGGTTATCTTTGGTCACCTAAAAAGATATTATATGTGGTAACCTCTGGTCTCCCTACACATATATTGACTATGGTTACCTCTGGTCACCCTACACATATTTTGAACATGGTAACCTCTGGTCACCTTACCAAAACTTTGAATATGGTTACCTCTGGTCACCTAACAAAGATATTGGATATGGTTTTTTTTTGTCATCTAAAAAGATATTGAATGTGGTTACTTCTGGTCACCCTACAACATATTGAGTATGGTTAGCTCTTGTTACTCTTCACAGATATTGAACATGGTAACCTCTGGTCAACCTACAATAAATTGGCTTATGTTACTTATGGTTACAATTCATAAATAATGTATTTGGTTAGCATCTGTTATCCCGGTTCACACTTTTGCGCTTCTTTTATAATTAATATAGCAACTTCTGGTCGCTGTACACATACATTGAATTATGTTGCCATTGTCAACACACACATATATATATAGCAATTGCCTTTTTTGAATGTGGTAACCTCGGGTCGCCATACACAGATATAAAGTTATTTATCTTTAGACACCATACATAAATATTGAATGTAGATACCTTTATTAAACCTACTAGTAAGCTGTTTATTTTGGTAATCTCTGGTCACACTGCCAAGATGATGAATGTGGTTACCTCTGGTCACCCTCCAAAGATATTGAATATGGTTACCTCTGGTCACCATACAAAGATATTGAATAGGGTGACCACTGGTCACCCAACCAAAATTTGAATATGGTTACCTCTGGTCACCCTACACAGATATTGAACAAGGTTACCTCTGGTCACCCAACCAAAACTTTGAATATGGTTACTTCTGGTCACCCTACACATATATTGAATAAGGTTACTTCTGATCACCCAACCAAAACTTTAAATATGGTTACCACTGGTCACCCTCCAAAGATATTGAATATGGTTACCTCTGGTCACCCTACAAAGATATTGAATAGGGTGACCTCTGGTCACCCAACCAAAACTTTGAATATGGTTACCTCTGGTCACCCTACACAGATATTGAATAAGGTTACCTCTGGTCACCCAACCAAAACTTTGAATATGGTTACCTCTGGTCACCCTACACAGATATTGAATAAGGTTACCTCTGGTCACCCAACCAAAACTTTGAATATTGTTGCCTCTGGTCACCCTCCACATATATTGAATAATGTTACTTCTGGTCACCCAACCAAAACTTTAAATATGGTTACCTCTGGTCACCCTACACAAATATTGAATAAGGTTACCTCTGGTCACTTTACAAAGATATTGCATATGGTTATCTTTGGTCACCTAAAAAGATATTATATGTGGTAACCTCTGGTCTCCCTACACATATATTGACTATGGTTACCTCTGGTCACCCTACACATATTTTGAACATGGTAACCTCTGGTCACCTTACCAAAACTTTGAATATGGTTACCTCTGGTCACCTAACAAAGATATTGGATATGGTTTTTTTTGTCATCAAAAAAGATATTGATTGTGGTTACTTCTGGTCACCCTACAAAATATTGAGTATGGTTAGCTCTTGTTACTCTACACAGATATTGAAAATGGTAACCTCTGGTCAACCTACAATAAATTGGCTGATGTTACCTATGGTTACAATTCATAAATAATGTATTTGGTTAGCATCTGTTATCCCGGTTCACACTTTTGCGCTACTTTTATAATTAATATAGCAACTTCTGGTCGCTGTACACATACATTGAATTATGTTGCCATTGTCAACACACACATATATATATATAGCAATTGCCTTTTTTGAATGTGGTAACCTCGGGTCGCCATACACAGATATAAAGTTATTTATCTTTAGACACCATACATAAATATTGAATGTAGATACCTTTATTAAACCTACTAGTAAGCTGTTTATTTTGGTAATCTCTGGTCACACTGCCAAGATGATGAATGTGGTTACCTCTGGTCACCCTCCAAAGATATTGAATATGGTTACCTCTGGTCACCCTACAAAGATATTGAATAGGGTGACCTCTGGTCACCCAACCAAAACTTTGAATATGGTTACCTCTGGTCACCCTACACAGATATTGAATAAGGTTACCTCTGGTCACCCAACCAAAACTTTGAATATGGTTACCTCTGGTCACCCTACACATATATTGAATAAGGTTACTTCTGGTCACCCAACCAAAACTTTAAATATGGTTACCTCTGGTCACCCTACACATATATTGAATAAGGTTACCTCTGGTCACTTTACAAAGATATTGCATATGGTGGTTATCTTTGGTCACCTAAAAAGATATTATATGTGGTAACCTCTGGTCTCCCTTCACATATATTGACTATGGTTACCTCTGGTCACCCTACACATGTTTTGAACATGGTAACCTCTGGTCACCTTACCAAAACTTTGAATATGGTTACCTCTGGTCACCTAACAAAGATATTGGATATGGTTTTTTTTTGTCATCTAAAAAGATATTGATTGTGGTTACTTCTGGTCACCCTACAAAATATTGAGTATGGTTAGCTCTTGTTACTCTACACAGATATTGAAAATGGTAACCTCTGGTCAACCTACAATAAATTGGCTTATGTTACCTATGGTTACAATTCATAAATAATGTATTTGGTTAGCATCTGTTATCCCGGTTCACACTTTGCGCTACTTTTATAATTAATATAGCAACTTCTGGTCGCTGTACACATACATTGAATTATGTTGCCATTGTCAACACACACATATATATATATAGCAATTGCCTTTTTTGAATGTGGTAACCTCGGGTCGCCATACACAGATATAAAGTTATTTATCTTTAGACACCATACATAAATATTGAATGTAGATACCTTTATTAAACCTACTAGTAAGCTGTTTATTTTGGTAATCTCTGGTCACACTGCCAAGATGATGAATGTGGTTACCTCTAGTCACCCTCCAAAGATATTGAATATGGTTACCTCTGGTCGCCCTACAAAGATATTGAATAGGGTGACCTCTGGTCACCCAACCAAAACTTTGAATATGGTTACCTCTGGTCACCCTACACAGATATTGAATAAGGTTACCTCTGGTCACCCAACCAAAACTTTGAATATGGTTACCTCTGGTCACGGTGCACCCTACACATATATTGGATAAGGTTACTTCTGGTCACCCAACCAAAACTTTAAATATGGTTACCTCTGGTCACCCTACACAGATATTGAATAAGGTTACCTCTGGTCACTTTACAAAGATATTGCACATGGTTATCTTTGGTCACCTAAAAAGATATTATATGTGGTAACCTCTGGTCTCCTTACACATATATTGACTATGGTTACCTCTGGTCACCCTACACATGTTTTGAACATGGTAACCTCTGGTCACCTTACCAAAACTTTGAATATGGTTACCTCTGGTCACCTAACAAAGATATTGGATATGGTTTTTTTTGTCATCTAAAAAGATATTGATTGTGGTTACTTCTGGTCACCCTACAAAATATTGAGTATGGTTAGCTCTTGTTACTCTACACAGATATTGAAAATGGTAACCTCTGGTCAACCTACAATAAATTGGCTTATGTTACCTATGGTTACAATTCATAAATAATGTATTTGGTTAGCATCTGTTATCCCGGTTCACACTTTGCGCTACTTTTATAATTAATATAGCAACTTCTGGTCGCTGTACACATACATTGAATTATGTTGCCATTGTCAACACACACATATATATATAGCAATTGCCTTTTTTGAATGTGGTAACCTCGGGTCGCCATACACAGATATAAAGTTGTTTATCTTTAGACACCATACATAAATATTGAATGTAGATACCTTTATTAAACCTACTAGTAAGCTGTTTATTTTGGTAATCTCTGGTCACACTGCCAAGATGATGAATGTGGTTACCTCTGGTCACCCTCCAAAGATATTGAATATGGTTACATCTGGTCGCCCTACAAAGGTATTGAATAGGGTGACCTCTGGTCACCCAACCAGAACTTTGAATATGGTTACCTCTGGTCACCCTACACAGATATTGAATAAGGTTACCTCTGGTCACCCAACCAAAACTTTGAATATGGTTACCTCTGGTCACGGTGCACCCTACACATATATTGGATAAGGTTACTTCTGGTCACCCAACCAAAACTTTAAATATGGTTACCTCTGGTCACCCTACACAGATATTGAATAAGGTTACCTCTGGTCACTTTACAAAGATATTGCACATGGTTATCTTTGGTCACCTAAAAAGATATTATATGTGGTAACCTCTGGTCTCCTTACACATATATTGACTATGGTTACCTCTGGTCACCCTACACATGTTTTGAACATGGTAACCTCTGGTCACCTTACCAAAACTTTGAATATGGTTACCTCTGGTCAACTAACAAAGATATTGGATATGGTTTTTTTTTGTCATCTAAAAAGATATTGATTGTGGTTACTTCTGGTCACCCTACAAAATATTGAGTATGGTTAGCTCTTGTTACTCTACACAGATATTGAAAATGGTAACCTCTGGTCAACCTACAATAAATTGGCTTATGTTACCTATGGTTAAAATTCATAAATAATGTATTTGGTTAGCATCTGTTATCCCGGTTCACACTTTTGCGCTACTTTTATAATTAATATAGCAACTTCTGGTCGCTGTACACATACATTGAATTATGTTGCCATTGTCAACACACACATATATATATAGCAATTGCCTTTTTTGAATGATGTAACCTCTGGTCACCCTACACATATATTGAATAAGGTTACCTCTGGTCACCCAACCAAAACTTTAAATATGGTTACCTCTGGTCACACTGCCAAAATGATGAATGTGGTTACCTCTGGTCACCCTCCAAAGATATTGAATATGGTTACCTCTGGTCACCCTACACAGATATTGAATAAGGTTACCTCTGGTCCCCCAACCAAAACTTTGAATATAGTTACCTCTGGTCACACTGCCAAGATGATGAATGTGGTTACCTCTGGTCACCCTCCAAAGATATTGAATATGGTAACCTCTGGTCACCCTACACAGATATTGAATAAGGTTACCTCTGGTCACCCAACCAAAACTTTGAATATGGTTACCTCTGGTCACCCTACACATATATTGAATAAGGTTACCTTTGGTCACCCAACCAAAACTTTGAATATGGTTACCTCTGGTCACCCTACACAGATATTGAATAAGGTTAACTCTGGTCATTTTACAAAGATATTGCATATGGTTATCTTTGGTCACCTAAAAAGATATTATATGTGGTAACCTCTGGTCTCCCTACACATATATTGACTATGGTTACCTCTGGTCACCCTACACATATTTTGAACATGGTAACCTCTGGTCACCTTACCAAAACTTTGAATATGGTTACCTCTGGTCACCTAACAAAGATATTGGATATGGTTTTTTTTGTCATCTAAAAAGATATTGATTGTGGTTACTTCTGGTCACCCTACAAATATATTGAGTATGGTTAGCTCTTGTTACTCTACACAGATATTGAAAATGGTAACCTCTGGTCAACCTACAATAAATTGGCTTATGTTACCTATGGTTACAATTCATAAATAATGTATTTGGTTGGCATCGGTTATCCCGGTTCACACTTTTTACGCTACTTTTATTATTAATATAGCAACTTCTGGTCGATGTACACATATATTAAATTATGTTGCCATTGTCAACAAAAATATATAGCAATTGCCTTTTCTTAATGTAGTTACCTCGGGTCACCATACACATATATAAAATTATTTATCTTTAGACACCATGCATAAATATTGAATGTAGGTACTTTTATTAAACCTACTAAGATGTTTATTTTGGTAATCTCTGGTCACACTACTAAGATGTTGAATGTGGTTACCTCTGGTCACCCTCCAAAAATATTGAATATGGTTACCTCTGGTCACCCTACAAAGATATTGAATATAGTAACCTCTGGTCAACCAACCAAAATTTTGAATATGGTTACCTCTGGTCACCCTACTAAAATTTTGAATATGGTTACCTCTGGTCACCTTACAAAGATATTGCATATGGTTATCTTTGGTCATCTAAAAAGAGTTTGAATGTGGTTACCTCTGGTCACCCTACACATATATTAAGTATGGTTACCTCTGGTCACTCTACGCATAATTTGAACATGGTCACCTCTGGTCACCCACACAGATATTGGCTATGGTTACGTTTGGTCAATCTACAAAAATTTGGCTTATGTTACCTATGGTTACAATTCATAAATAATGAATTTGGTTAGCAATGGTTATCTCGGTGCACACTTTTTGCGCTACTTTTATAATTAATATAGCCACTTCTGGTCGATGTACACATATATTAAATTATGTAGCCGTTGTCAACAAATATATATAGCAATTGGTTTTTTTTAATGTGGTTACCTCGGGTCACCATACACAGATATACATTTATTTATCTTTAGACACCATGCATAAATATTGAATTTAGGTACCTTTATTAACCCTACTTAGATGTTTAATTTGGTAATCTCTGGTCACACTACAAAGATGTTAAATGTGATTACCTCTGGTCACCGTACAAAAATATTGAATATGGTTACTTCTGGTCAACTTACAAAGATATTAAATAGGGTGACCTCTGGTCACCCTACCAAAATTGTGAATATGGTTACCTCTGGTCACCCTACACAGATATTGAATAAGGTTACCTCTGGACACCTTACACAGATATTGACTAAGGTAACCTTTGGTCACCTTACAAAGATATTGCATATGGTTACCTCTGGTCACCCACACAGATATTGGCTATGGTTACCTCTGGTCATCCTACACAGATATTGAAAATGGTTACTTTTGGTCACCCTACAATAAATTGGCTTATGTTAACCATGGTAACAGTTCATAAGATGAATATCGTTGGTCAATTTAAAAGATATTGAATGTGGTTAACTCAGGTCATTCTACACAGATATTAAATATGTTTACCTCTGGCCCCCCTACACAGATTTCGAATTGGGTAACCCTTTCATATTATTGAATGAGATTACCTCCGGTCATCATATACATATATTTACTTAAATTACCTCTGGTCACCCTTTACAGATTTGGAATGTGGTTACCTTTGGTCACCATACACAGGTATTAACTTTAGGTTCTGGTCACAATTCATAATTAATGAATCTTTATTGGCATCGATTATCTCGTTTCACACTATCCAGATGTTAAATTTGGTTAACACTTCCCGCAACATTTATATTGAATATGAATATTGCTCATCATAAACAGATAATGATTATGGATATCTCTGGATACCCATCCTATAATTTATTTACTTTTGGTAATCTGACGCAATATGACTTTTAAGGGGTCTCATGGTTTCTCCGGTTATATACAATTAATAAAAAAAAAGATTTTGTTGACATTTTAAAAATAAATATGATATATTTCACATTCTCATTACAGGGTTTTTTGTTCGTGAATTAAATAGAGGAAATATGACAGGTGTAACAGGCGATTTTGAAGGTAATGGTTACAGTTTCAAACATAATTATTTCATTAATCATAGTAGAGGTCATATTAAGACCAATATTCAATTCCTAAAATCAGAATTCGAAACGTAGGGTTGATAGTACAAATCAAATACTTCAAAAACTAGAAAAACTGCACAAATTCCAAAATTATAGTTAAGGAATGTCAAATTATGATACATTATCGCGGTGTATATTTGAAACATCGTTATTTATTCCGCCATTTCCATATCTTACAGGTTTGGAAAACTTTAATTTGGAAGACCTCCATGAATTGCGACATGAAGAAAAGGAAGAAGTTAAAAAACAGATTGAAGCCATATATATTGAGGCAACCTCTTTGGAGAAAAAAGCCAGAGAATTGGGTATGAATTGTGTTTTCTCATTTATGCCCAAACCGCCACAAATGTCGTGATATTTTTCATACAGTATTGTATAGATTACGCTGTTTAGATCATACAATTGAGAAATAATTCATTTAGGCTTGAATTTATACTGATTTTACCACGGATTGACCTTTTATGCTAAATATTTTACAACGACCGATGGCATGGATAATATGCTCTTCATTTTTTAAAACTTTATTCAGCTACGATCAATTATCCTTGGCCAATTTGTAATGGCTCAGCGACTGCGTATATATTTTTTTTAAAAGTGTTTCAAAATTAGTATCTTATTCCAACAAATCGAAAATTGTTACTGTTTTTGTTTTTTTGTGTACATATGCAAATTGTAAAAATATGATTTATTCTAGGAAATTACACGCACAAATATTATATTTCCCTACCATTTTAGCATGTGATACAAATTCAAAACAGTATATTCTTCGCCACGCACAAACCTTAACAGAAAAAGCAAATGAGATGAAAGAAAAGATATGCTTAGCATCAGGTGATTTATTTCTTTATCTGTATTATATTATAGATATACATTTATAACACAGTAGTGTTATTTTTATGTTAATACTGTAGACTTTTGTAGTTGAATATATCTGTTGGCACGCAAATTGGAAACTGAAAAACAGAAAATTCAAAAGGCACTTAATCAAATCCACTTGTCATAACCAAATTGACAAAGCCACGACAATAAACACAAAATCGGGAACAAGACAAACATCATTCCACGGAATTGGTTTGCGGTTTATTCCTTACTTTATCATTTGTTTATTATCTCAAAACTAGTGTACATAACACACTTTGGCAGTTCACTTAATACTGATCAGTGTTTTATTTCAATTTTCTTATGATGCCCTTTATAAGTAAAAAGAAAGGATTCATATCAAATTTTTACCTCCCCACACACACATACCAGCACACCCACATACACACCAACACTTCAACACACATACACACACCAACACACCAACACACCAACACACATACACACCTACACACACATTTTCTAAAACAAAATGTCAATACCAATTACATGCATCTAGTTGCTGTCATCATTCAAATTTTAGAATGTTTTTGGTTCTGTATCTTCATTTTATTTGTTTAATTCAAAACAAAATAATTTACACAAAACCAGTCAACCACCAGCATATTATCATTGCTTTCAATAATCATGAATAACAAAGTCAAATATTGTTTTTGAATAAATTTATGAATAGCCAAAAATGTCAGACTTTTGTGATACAAATATTTCAGAGCAGAAGGTCTGAAAAAGTTAATTTATAATTCTAAAGAGGTGAATGTCAACAACCTCACAAAGAAATGAAAGAATCATAATTCATATTTTATTGTAAAATTCAGAGTTTACCCAGAATCATATCACTCTTAACAAATCTGTCAAATGATCCCTGAATAAACAAGTAATATTTTCAATGATACGTTTTTATTACAATTGAATACACATAAGTATGTATAAACAATGTCATTTAGCTGTAAATTTGAAGTGAAGAAATTTTAACCTTATATTCTAATATTAAGGGAAATCATTCCAAACACCTGATGAACTACAAATTGCTATAAAGCAATCCATAGCTTCAAACGAGGAACAAACATTAATAGTTGAGAGACTTAAGAGGAACTGTTCATCCCATGGCTTAGAATACAGAGGTCAAACACCAGGAAATGGGAATTGTTTTTTTGAAGCAATCACATGCCAGCTAGATAGAATTGGCGCAGACGTTATTGCTCCCGAACAATTAAGAACAAATGTTGTAAACTACATATCAACACATCCTAGTTTTGAGGTAAACTAATTTACTTGTTAAATACATTCACTAATTATCAAACTCCTCCATGGACAGAAACATAAAGAATTAGTTGGACATGTTTTCAGGGGACAAATCAAAACCGTTGGCAACGTTAGTGGCGCATCAGCACAACTTAAATATATGATTTAAATCAGTTAAGAAGCTATTAACACACAAATACCATCAAAAATACTTCCGACAGAATATTAATTTGGAATTGACGTAACTGCCCGTAATACCTGTGATTAATGCAATTTAATATTTAAAGATTTACAAACTGATAAAAGAATAAGCATCAGTTAAGACTTTCATATCAACCAGAATGCTTCTTTCTGCAGATGTTTAAATAAATCATTTACAGTTAATATAGTACAATGCTAAATAATAGGTATTGACAAAAAACAATAAAATAAATAAAAAATGTATGTTATGATCATGATGATTTTTGATAAAATGTAGTTATAAAAGTATTTGTTTTGTATTAATCAATTTCAATGTACAGTAGTTAATAAAGACTTATGTATGTAGCTTTCTTTCAATCAATAGGGCAGTCAAGGCATTGTGTTATTAGAAAACTTCGTTGAAGACAATTTTCCGGACTACTGTGACAGGATGTTACAGAATGGAGAGTACGCAGACCATGTTGTGGTCATTGGAATGTCCAGAATGCTACAGAGAGACATAGTTATTGTCACCAGTGCTTCCAGTACCAATAATGAGGATAGTGTCCTTTGGGTAACTGGTTGTGATGGTTTTTCCGGTAATCCTATTCTTCTTGGGCACATTTTCGAAAACCACTACCAGTCACTCCAGCCAAAAGGTAACTGATAATAGAAATTATATAATTTATGATTATCTCTCATAAAGAGATACCTTTACAGTTATAGTTTAAAGTAACGCATATGTAAATCTATGTTAAAAAAATAATGTCTACGGTTGATAGTTGGGAAATATCTTATAACACGAGATATAGTTGTGGAATCTGTTAATCTAATGATTCCAATAAAATTTGATAATTTGTTTAGATTATTTACAAAAAGTCATGCTCTTCTTGTCTGACTTCATCGGGCATGATCACCTATTCCAATGACGTCATTATATAAAATTCAGAGGAAAGCAAAATATTTGTCGTCATTATTATATTTCGACTAAGGAAGGACTTCGATCAAATGACCCACGTTTGGTAAAATGTTGATCAATATTGTGCTCAGAAAGGGATAAATACCATAGAATCAGTAAAATGTCCATATTTGTATATTTGATATTTTATCAAATTGTTTTTGGCAAAACGAAATGAAATAAGTTTACTTTAACTTTGTTCTTCATTAGGCATTTTCACATTTTCGATAGGAGCGACCCTAATGAGTATTACGTAGACGGAACACATTTTTAAGCCTTATATCTTTGAATTAGGTAGATCATCACTATATATCTGTATATCGCCATCTTGAATTGTAAAATAGCAGCACACAAGCGACAAAGTTCTTTATTTAAAACTGCAAATTTTGAGACATAAATGCTATTCATTTTTAAAACTCTTGTTTGATAAATGTAAATAAGTGCATTATATCATTGAAAAAATAAGTGTTATTGTAAAAACCGGCTATCAGTCTTTGTTTGATTCAATTTGTCAACTGAGCTAATTAACGGAAGATAACTTATTTGGTGAATTTTCTTTAAAGGAATGATAATGAAATTTCCATTTTTCGCAAGAAAACGAGATTTATTTTCACCCTTTTTCTTTTGATTTTCTACTAAATTGTGGCTATGTATAAGAAAATTATGTCTGAGAAAAAAATTCAGTAATGATCTACCTTAAATCGTTTTACGTTTTTTCACTGTAGACTGTTTTTGAAAAAGAAAAATATTAAAGGAAGTATTGTAAATGTGATATTTATATAAGTTTACTTTACATAATTTGATTGCATAATTACTGCATTGATATCAATCAGCATTAGAGGCAAAGTTTTTCTAATTGGCAAATACATTCAGATGCAAAAAAGCTTTATTTTAACAGATAAACTAGTATTAATTATAAATTATTACGTTTTTTTGTTAATTGTAACGTTTATACAACAAATTTTAGGTGACAGTGGCAAACTTGATCACCACACGAATGATAAGCATGCAACAAATGATGATAAGCTTTTTATTCCTGTTGATGTGTGCAACGAAGAACTCAGCAACTATAACATGACACATGATGTTGAAGGTACAATATTGTTCCTTCGGAAATGTTCACTAGCCATACTTATCATCAGTGATTTTAAAATGATTTGAATAACTTATAATTAGCGGGAATTTCTCGCTACATTGAAGACCTGTTGGTGACCTTCTGCTGTTGTATTTTTCTACGGTCGGGTTGTTGTCTCTTTGACACATTCCCCATTTTTATTCTCAATTTTATTATAAAAAGTAAAAGTCATTTTATCATCCACTTTTATACATAACCTACCATTAGTATACATAGACGTCAATATTCTATAAAAAATAATTAGTTGTATTATAAAGTTGCAGTTTATAGATACTACCAATGAGCATGACTTTATCGAAGGCTTTTCGAAAGTCAACAATGCATTTAAAACACATTTTATTTCCATTTCTCCGTACTTCCAACGACAAAATTATTATACTTAAATTTGACTTTACATGCGAAATTTAAAGTGGTTTATCTAACGTCATTTTGTCGCAATAGTTGTATCATGTGTCCTCCTTTTTTATTATTAACTGTAACGTCTATGTTATACTGCAAATGCGTTTTATTATTGTATTAATACTGTGTCGCGAAGTATACTTATGTTTATAATTGTATTTTTTGTAACTCGTTAATTGTTTTGTCAGAGTTAAGCCATTTTCCATTATTTGCTTTTATAGTGCGTCTTTTCTTTTAATGTTTTACTGCTGTTTTACGTGTAATGTGCAGGTTTGCGCCTGTTGAAACGTTCAAATATATTATATGCAACTATTTTTTTGTGTTATTAAAATTTGCTGTTACAACATATTAGAAATTATTATAAATTAAGGAATGTATCTCCCTCATGCAAAGCTCTGATTTCTTTCACGGATTTGGCTATACTTTTTGGACCTTTTGGATTATAGCTCTTCATCTTTTATATAAGCTTTGGATTTCAAATAATTTGGCAACGAGCATCACTGAAGAGACATGTATTGTCGAAATGCGCATCTGGTGCAAGAAAATTGGTACCGTTAATTTTATTGTGCAGAGGTCGTTTGTTGGTATTTTTCATCGATGTCATCATTTGTTTTTAAATTTATAACAAGTAAACTAGTGTTACTACATAGCAATACATATGCTTTTCTTACCCTAGATATGCCATTCGTAGAGTTTGTGAGATCCACCTTCATCAAAAAACGGAAAAATGGTACTGATTGCATTGTTAGACGTTTAAGGTATGGGAAATTTTATTTTAATCGAAAATATATAGTTTTGAAATCAACTAATTTCTATATGCTACCTTCTTCCTATGACCTAATGGTTTCAATAGAATTAAAAGAAAATAAATATCTATCACAGCAAAACATATACCTTCAGATTATTGAAAAATAACTCTGTTTGTTATTCAGAATAATTTTACTGAAGTTCAAATAGTCTTACAAAATATAAAAATCACTGTATTAACAAAGGGATCATTTTTAAGAACTCTATTTTTTGGGGGACAATTTAAGTCTATTATACTATGGTGTAACTCTTTCCAATGTTTCTGAATATATGGATGAATTTTTGGTCACACTTTTACACTGAAACATATTGTTGTGTTTTATCAGCTAGCATTTGTGACTTTGGCTTCAGTTTTTGCTTATCATTCAACAGAAATGAAGTGGACAACGAAGACGTCATAACCAAGCATTTAATGGATATAACAATCACAGGGAATTTTATTCACAGGAAAGCAAATAAAACCACATTGCAATACAGGTGTGAAAGGTAACTTTAATCATCTAAGTCGATAATCTATAAAGGAATTTTATCTTGAAATAAATCCACTCTTGTTTTTCTCCAAATAAACAATAAATAGAAAAAGAGAACAACTTTAGTAACAATCGTAAACATTCTTAAAGAATCTATTTACATATCTTGCATATCAAATTTGCAAGACAATGCTGAGTTAAAAGATACATTTGTGACAGAAAATAATATTGGTATAGTTTTGAAAGAGATGAGTTGTATAATCTTGACTTCTGGTTGTATGTTATTCTCTTGCTTTTTTTCAATAATATACGTTTTGTGTTATAGATTATACAGTAATTATAGTATGGCCTTTAATAACAGATAGTTCCGAAAGCTTTTAAACGTATTGAACTATGAATTTTCTGAAATATTGCACAACATCTTTCTCTTTGGTTATCTATAAAGTTAAGATGCATATTTGTTTAAATTTTATCATGTTTATATTAGATGTAATAAACCAAGAGGAAAAAAAAACAGGTCCTTTGAATACCAGGGCAAATAATTGTCAGGCATATGTGTCATTACAGTATGTTATGTTAATGTAATATTCATTTATCTCTTTTACTTTTCTTTTATGATGCAAAACTATAAATTAATTTATAACTTTTAAGCGTTTGAACATCATTATTTATTGATCCTAACATCCTTGTTGTAGTTAAGCAACCTTTTGTCCGTGTCTTGAGAGTGGGAATTAAATGCATTTATCATATTACTAAACCAAACACATTTAAACAGGTATTCACCGGGCATACACCATTCATGAGTTTCTGGCTAGTTTACCTGACATTTCATGTGATGAGCGGGTCAATACACCCTGTCATGGTTGAAATTATTATATAGAGAATCCCTGTATCAAATTATATAGAATTTGGTATATATCATTTTGATGATAAGTTATCAATTTACAAGGAGAACACAACAACCATAGCAGTTATTCGAAGTAGCCTTACACATATTTTTAGAAAAAATAATCCTTTTCTTCAAGTCCGATAGATCGTAAATATTGCTTACAAGCTGTTGTAATAAATATAATAATGATACGTTTGGCAAAACAGTACTAACCAGTGACGTTGTACATGTAAAAAAAATCATTAAAGGGCATGTTAATATCTTCTTACACAGATTTTTGACCCATTTGAGTAAAAAAGCAGTAATAATTCGGCAACAACTAAAACACAATGGACACAGTTTACAGATAAAAGAGGAAAAACACCAATCACGCCCAGATCACAGCTTACTGCTTTATATAGATGCTTTACTTGATCAGGTATTCATGTCGTCGGTATTATATATAATTTATTGCTCATAACGAATTGACTTATTTTTCAATTATAAGTTGCTGGTACTCTTATAAACACAATGATAATAAAAACTGTGTATGCTGACATTATTGGAGTTTAATATTTTCTCAACCATTCTGTTCTTTTCGATGTCTGTGTTTGTCTTCCGGCGCATTTTTTCATAATTTGCAAAGATTATAATGAATGAATAGGTTGAAATAAATCAAAAATAAAATGATTAGGATAAAATTGGCTTGCCAGAGAGTCATTTAATGCATTTACATAAATATCGGACGCTTGTATGAAATATTTTAATGAAAAAACCAGTTTAAAGCTGAATAGCATTGATGATAAAATATTCTAGAAGACATATATTTTTACAATGACATATATTGATACAACGACATATTTTGTGTTGATTTGAAAAAATCCTTAAGCTCAAAAAGATTTTAACTAAATTTGAAATTAATTGTAATTGGCACGAATTTAATTTTATTTCATTATCAATAGGGGAAAAAACCCATGGAAATATTGTGCAAAGCATGGAAATGGGCTAGAGATCAAGGGCATTTTGATGTGCACGATAAAAGATACTATCTGACACCAGTTGACATTAAGAATATATGTCAACGTTACAAAATGGATAAAAGGTATCAAAACATAATCAAAAGATTTACTTAAAATATGTACTTACTACTTTGTTCTTCTAAAAAATCCAAAGAAACAGGCTCATTGTTGAAGGCCGTATGGTGACCTATAGTTGTTAATGTTTGTGTCATTTTTGGTCTTTTGTGGATAGTTGTCTCATTGGTAATCATACCATATCTTCTTTGATAACTTGAACCAAATCTTAATATTGACAAAGACTTTGCTACCTCTGATAACACTTAACATATACAGACTTTGGTAACCTCTGGTTAATGAACACATATATGGACCTGGGTCGCCACTTGTACCCTTAAATGTTTGTAGAATTTGATAATCACTTTTCACCATTTTGTTAACTTTGGTCACCTGAAACATATATATAATGATACACAGGTATTGACTAGGGCTACCTTAATCATACTTGTGTTTCCTATGTCTATTTTAGATATGTATATAATCTATATCCCTTTTGAAACCGTACACATATATTATCTTTGGTTACCACTGTTCACCGCAACTTTGGTCACATCTGGACAATTTAAAAAAAAATGATAGCTTTACACAAAGTATATCCTTGGTTCCGTCTTGTTACATCTACATACTTTAGTAAAGTGAAATTTAAAGAGCATTTGGTATTTAGTACCTTACACTGGAAATGACGTTGGTTACCTCCATCACATTTATAGATACAGCCTTTGGTTTGTGGTTCTTTAAACTGATGCACTGTTTGCAAACCCAATGGTTCGTCTGTTAAAATCATTACTTTATTCACCATTTTAATCTTTTTACCAATCTGATTGTAAACATGCACTTTACACAGTAAATTAACTTTGGTGTTTTCTGGTCAAATTATACAGATGTACTGTTGACATTGATTTTGTATATGTCAGTACTGGTATTGATCTATGATATTTCCTCATTTGTTTTAGAATTCACCAGAATGATGCTGTAGCTGTACACGAGCTATGCACACAAATACTGAAGGAAGAGATAATTTTCTACCAAGAATTGAAAGAGTAATTATTCTTATATAATAATGTACTTTTGTAAATTTTAATAACTGATATAAGCATAATGCTGATAAAGAGTAATTCTGAAATTACTGATTGATACCCTGTTTTGTTCTTCAGACATGACTGGATTGCCTTATGTTCAAATAGTTTTTATAGTACTCGTCTGTCCAATTTCGTATATGATTTTGTCTGTAAAATGTTTCAATGAGAGCTGTACAGATGAGTTTTCTGTAGACTGAACGTATATCTGACTTCTCATAATAGATGATTTGTATTTTTGGTTTTTATCCTTTTGAGTGTTTTTAGTGCTACACTTGTTCACAAGTCATATATTTTGTCAATATATTTTACATTTTTGTCTTTTTCAGTTTTAATAGAGGTTATTTAATATGAGTACAATGTAGCTAGTTTGTCGTCTTCTTTTCCATTAAATGGACATGATTTCAACATAAAATATATAATTCATACTCATACTTTTGGTCATTAAATATGTAACATTTACATTGTAGGGGAGTACAGCCATTAGTAATTATTTACCAGAATGAAGCACAAAGAAAAAGAATGGTGAAACTAGCAGAAAATGTGGTGTTTTTAGATGCTACATATAAAGGTATATACTTGTATATAATCATGGAAATTTCAATTTAAAATATTGATACGTTTAAAAGAATTGAACTGTGTGACAATAAACTTACAACATGTTTTTTGTTTGTTTTAAGGATTAACTGCCTATGGTTATTCATTCTATGCTCTTGTTGCAAGAGATGAACAGCAAGGCCGAGGCACTCCTCTTTCGTACTGTATCTCGTCAGATGATACTGGTGAAGTTGTCAAAATATTTCTGAGATCTCTGAAGACTACGGCTGAAAATCATGGATTTGATTTCCGTCCAAGGTTTGTGGGTATCAAAGTTGACAATATTTCGAATTCAATATCATTGCTTATTAACACTTTTCATTTTCGTCTTATTATTTGTTTACAATTAGTAACATTATTCGGAGTCAACATCAAATCTGATATGGATATAAAAGATAAATAAATACCATTCAATTATATGTTTTAATTAATTTGGCTGTAAAAATTACAGGTTAAACTATGACATTATTCACATATTCGTGCAGTGATAGTTATTTAAAATGACAAATAGAAATGCTATGAAAGATTCATCTAAAGAAACATTTTTTCATGCATATCAAAATTAATACAATTAAGGTCCACAATAATTTCAGTTGAATTTTGGCAAAGAATATTAGATAAATAATTTTTGCATAATAATATTTTTCTAATGGACTAATGAAACTTACAAAAACATCAATTTCCTTAAAATCTTTTGAGTGTGATCTATAGCAAGGCTTTAAAACCAAAGCATTTAAGATTAAAGCATAGTCAGGTTTATACATAACATAATAATTAAAGCTTTTTTAGGCTTGTTTCCAAACTTTTTAATCACAAATTAAAAATCTAATTGATATAAAAAAAAAAAGAATTTACATAATTATTTACAAATTAACAAATAGTATTATAGAATAAAACCAATATGAGATAAAGATATAGATTGTTGATACTGCAGTGTTACATTTTGTTTACTAGATCTTTTATGGTAGACAGAGATACCAAAGAAATCAGCGCAATTAATGAAGTATTCCCAAACAGCTCTGTTTTACTTTGCTGGTTTCATGTTTTACAGGTATTATATTATTCAATATATGTATCATACATTTTACCTTATTCTTTATGGGAAAAAAATCAGTTATTAAATGAGAGTTATTCTGTGAAGTTTCACTCTTTTGGATCAATAAGTATTAATTGCATTGGATTTAACATTTTATATCTTTTTTTTGTGTTTATAAGCTTGAGGTCAGTTTTGAATTAATAAATAGACTCTTTCGCATTAATACTTTCATAGATCAAATATTATCTTGTTGAAAAATAATTAGTCATGATATATTCAAGACAATGTTTAATTATTATTATCAAGAATCTTTAAGACATGAACTAAATATAAATGATTTGATTTACAGTCTGTGTACAGATTTTTGAATAAAAAAGAATCTGGTGTATCAGGACCCATGCACGCACATACCAGAAAAAAAGTTATTGACTATATTAGAACTATGAAAATATGTACCAAGGTAATCAAACGTGATAGTTAAGACAAATAAAATATAATGAACCTATGATACCACAGTGAAATATAATAATTTTTAAATTGGTCAATAATTTTGAGTTGGTCCTGACAAATTCAAATAATGTATTCGAATATTTAATATGTACTAGGTGAATGTTAATTTACATAGTATAACTTGACCTGCTTCTGATAATAACAGTTTTATATGCAGAGGATGTGAAACATTGTTAAAAAATTAATCACGAGTGTGTTGCCTCACAATGAAACACGATTGGTTATTGATATGTTTATATTATAAGAAAAATCCCTGTAGAAATGAAACCTCAGTGGGATCTTTTTCTCCTTTTCCAACATTGTAATTGTTTTAATATCAAAATCATATCAACAAGATTTTTCAAATAGAGTCAATTAAAACGCAATAATAATAATAATAAAAAATACAATCAATGAATTTTGGTTGATAAAAGATGAAAAAAAAACCACTGAAACATATAGAAATGAATCTCTATTGAATTAAAGCAGTAAAATAATTTAGAAAGTACAAATAGTTGCTTAATGCGATTTAAAGATCTTACCTATAAATATACAATGCTTATGAGTACACGCGTGTTTAATCTATAAAATCTGATTTTATACTCAAAAGAAATGTGTCAATATAATTTTTCATCAGAAAGAAGACTTTTCTCAAAAAGTTAAAATGTTGCAAGAGAAGATGCCTTCCAAACAAATAGCAGACTACTTGTTAGACAACTGGTGTACTGACAAGTGGGGATGTCGATGGGCCAACTATGGAAGACATTTTTTTCATGAAGATCAAGATACAAATAACTTAGTTGAAAGGTTATTAATACATTTTATTACTATACACCTTATATTTTACAAGATCGAAATTTTAAGCATCATCTAATTATCATCTGTTTGATAATAGTAACTAAGTATATTTTATTTTGGGGATAAATTTTCTGAACTGTCTCTGTTTTTATGACCTGATTTATAAAAAGTATTACACTTTGTCTAAATCCTACTTCTTCATGGGTAACCAAAGACATAGCATGATATAAACTTTACAATTTTTAACTATATGGAGAGGATTTTTGCCGTTGTTTCATGATAGGGTTATGCAAATTTAATACAAATATCATAATTGTCAATGCAAGTCGATAATTACATAAAAGCAGACAAAATGAAAAAATGTAGTCTAGCAAAACCTGATGTGTATGAGGATATTAAAACAAAAAAATATAATGCTACTTATAACATTCAAATGTTAACACATTAATATTTTATGTACTTTCTATTTGTACATTCAAATATAAATCATAAATTCAAAGTCCTTAACATTTTGTCATTTTCAGGTTTTTCCTGGGCATGAAATACCATTTCCTTGGTGGGTATGCCAATAGCAGAGTAGAGGACTTACTACTCCTTCTACATGGAAATGTAACTATGTTTTATGAGTAAGTAAGTTTAAATTTGTCACAATCCTGTTCTTCTTATCGTTCACTTGAATCGTCTGAAATTAGAAAGATCATTTTAATTTAAGATGCAAATACATTGAATATTAAATACTGTGAATTCAATTTTTTAAGAAATAATTTATTATTAGATCTTTGAATTATGTTTTCATAACCAAAAATAAATTAAAAAAAAATCGTAATTTTAGCTATCTGGATGAACTCGCAAAGATTGGTCGCCTGAAAAATATGGGAGGACAAAGGGGAGACAAAAGTAAATTGACAGCAGAGAATATGCTCAAGGCAGGACTCGACCAAACTGTGCACTGGACTTCATCCACAGAATGCACTGTTCCATCACAGACAGCATTTGGGACGATTTATAATGTGGACATTGTCAATGAAGTGTGCAATTGTCCAGCAGCAACAACAAGAGGTATTTTTTTAGCATCTTAAGTCAGTCCAACAATGTTTAAAAGTACACCATCAAGTATGCATTGTTGAAATCAAGATTATTAATTTCGGGTACCGTATATGGTTCCCGGAAATGCTTATCCTTCTAAAGCACCTAATTTCACTTCAGGTATTCAGTGGAATTCGTGTTGTTTATTATTGTTTTTTACTGTTGTTGTAAATGTCTTATGGTTTTATGAGTCTCCTCGGTTTTGATTGTTTTTGTCTTCCAACAAGGCATTATCAACCGTCATCAGGTTATACAAGTGCAAATAATCATTTTCCTCATCAAATTTTCTAAAACAATGCGATCCAATTTAAGTAAATCTTTACTCAACGTTCATTAGTGGTTTTGTTTAAAGTTTGTACAATTGAAAGTGAACCATAAAGGTACAAGTTATTTATGTTCCATTCTCTACTATTTTTCAGGAATGTGTAAGCATGTTCATTTAGCTGAATTGATTGCTTCTAAAAGGAACATCGACCTTACTGTAGAGCGCAGATCAGAAGCAATGGATGTATTTAATGCAGAACACTATTTTTATGACAGAGATAACAACCAGGTAGAGGTTTTGTCAAGATTGGGAAATGTATCAGTTGTTAATTTGACCTCTTTCAAATGTACATGTTTTGCCAATAGCCATGGTAAACATTGTGTTTGTGTGATGGTAGCAAAACTGGTAGTTCCATCACCTGACATAGAGTCTACCTCAATTGATGAAACAAAACAACAATTAATTGAAGACAAAGAAACAACCGACCAGGCTATTAAAAGAAAAATTGAGGAAATCAATTTATATGTAAACAATAAAAATTTCCAGACAATTGACGTGAAAAAAAAGAAAGCTATTTGTCAAGCACTCACAACGGCATTACATATTTGTAAGACAACCAACTTTTCCAAAACAACAAGAAAGCGAAAGCAGCAACCGCTGTTTCCAAGCAGAAAATCCAAAAGTCCAAAAACTGATCATGACTATTCAGTAAGCCGAAAGTGTGTTCTGAAAAAACGGGGGCGTAAAGTTAATGATGATGGCAGTTTCAAATCTACGCACAGAAAGAAAGGATCCATTCGTAAACCATTTCAATGAAAAAAATAATGAAATATTATACTGATTTTGAAAAACTGCCTTTTCTAGATATTCGTTCAAAAATTGTATATGTTACATAGGTGCTTAAATGCTTTAAAAGTAGGACATATACAGTTTGCTCTTGAAATGTTTTGCAAAGATACTGATGTGAACAAATGGATATAATTTAATATAACAAATACCTATTCCTTATGATGATTTTGTCAAGCAGATAACTTGGCTAATTATTACATTGGACTAGGTCTGTTTGTTGTCTCAAGTAGGTTATATTTTTTAAGCAAATGATCAAATATGTTTTAAGTTAAGATAATACGTGTCATGTGTCTAATAAATCATTACCTGGCAGCATTGTCTGTATTGTCTTCCAAAAGGCCTCAAAAACTTTCCCATGCATTGCCTTGTTTACATTAGTTTTATTTAGTTCGGCTATAACATGGCCAACAATTTCTCTGCAAATATAAGTTAAGACAGCAATTTTATTATTATAGGACATTTCTTTACCTACACAATTTTATATAATGACACCATCTTAATTATTCTAGTTTTAATAAGAATCACTTAATCTAAGCAAATAAAAGACTTAATTTACAAGAATGCATTTTATTTTATTGACTTAAATATTTTTTTTTAAATGTTTTAATATGTTAATACTATAATGCTTATTTTATGTCATTACTAACAAAAATTGTATTCAATAATTTCAAATGTTTCCTAGCTACAACAAAATAGAGCATGTTAAACCGTTGGAAAATAAATGAGAATAGCAATGTTATACATATCAATAATAAAACAAAGGACCAAGTCGAATTGTAAGGCCAAATTAAATAGTAATTTGTACATCAATAATTATAAGTCAATTGTTCTACCTAGCTTTCTGATAAACATGTAGTGTGGATTGTTTCAAGTTTATGACCAGTAAGAAGTAGATTGTATATGATTTTATAGTTAGTATTCTAACGATGCTATTAATTTTAAAATGATTGATTCCATGTCATTTTGCTTTGAAAAGTTTATTATTTAGTACACAGAGAAATGTGAAACCTTGAGTTGTTTTTTACGTTTTGGTCGGGTTGTTGTTTCTTTGACATAATCCCTGTGTCCATAAAGTTATATTAAAACGAAATCTGTTTTTAAACAGCTGGTAGTATGTTTGTGTTTGACTGTATATTAAAATGATAACTACACATTTCCATTCGCTTTTAACACAATTGTTCATTTTCTATATATAGACCTCGAGTGTAAAAAGATAGATTGCATTATAGACTTGATTATGAATTTATGATCTGAATTTTGTCACAAATTTAGTCTAGAATAATTATTGAAACAGATAAGCAATCAATTGAATAGATGAGAACTCAGTTTATAATTGATTGTTGAGAAGATAAATACATAATGATCATGGTATTTGGAAAATGTATGTTTTATATATTTCATGTTAATCTAGATGTTTGCATTTTCTATTGTGTATTTTATTCCATACTCTTAGTATGTAATAAAGATGTCAAGAAGACGATTGCCTTTGTAGCCATTATAAATCCAATGTTCATAAAATCTGAACAATTGAATTCTCCTCAAACACTTACTTAGTTTTTTCAATGTCACCCTTTTTTTGGGCAGATGTCCCTTTCATTTTTTTGCATACAGCCTTTTTGGTTGCTTCTTTGTCAACAAGAGCCTCGGTCAAAGTGTTTAAAGATTGAACTTGATAGTCAACATCACCTGAAAATGAAGTGAAATACAGTTGTGATCTTTTCTTGCAGTTAAGCTGATAAATATATGTAATAAGACATATTAAGCACCGTTATGAAAGTTCTTACAACTTAAAAAAATGTCTTACAGATTGGCAAAGCGACATGTATATGATTCACAGTAGACATATGATTTCAAAAGATACAGTTATATACCAAGGGATCATAAACTCAAGCATGAACAATATTATGGGCACCACATAATAAGCTGGATCTGCTAACCAATATAGATAACCTGAGACCACCCTAGTTTTTTATGGGGTTTATGTTGCTCAGTTTTATTTTTTCTATATTGAATTATAATGATTGCATTTTTGACTTTCCATCATTTTTTTTAATTTTTTTGCTCAGCTTTGTCAGTTTGTTCTCCAAATTTCAGTTTGATTGTTCCTTTCGACCCATTCACCATTCCTTACCTTCTAATCAATCAATGCTTAAAAAAACACGAGATCATCAATTTATGTGTTTTAACCAGCATAAACTGTTTTCTTTGAGAATCAAGTGTATTCACTAAAGTCTTACCGTTTGTTAACATGGACTAGGCTGATGTGATCGGTGGCACTATGTTTGTTGGTTTTGGAATCAAATTGACTAGTCTTGAAAGTTCCTTTCGATTTTGTTGAGTAGTATTTGATTTCCCTATTGTCAAGTAATCACCTATCTGGTGAACTGACATTCTGTCTGGTCCCTGGACTCTGGCCGTGATTTCATCTCCCTTCACCATATAAATCATTCTTTTCTCCGTTTTGTTTGTTTTCATTGACTGTAGTCTACTTCTCACAGGTCTAATGTCTTTTTAAAATAAATTGGAAAATAATCATGAACCCTTATGATAAGATTAATGAGAAACTTAAAATTGTGTTTTTGTTAGCCTATTAAAAGAAATCAATGACTTGAATTATTTAAGGCACAATGTAAAAATAAATGATACAGGGAGCTTCTAAATGTATAAAATTACCAAGTAAATATCAAACTAGTATATGTATAGGTTGTTACTAAACAGATAAAAGCCATTCCTGAAAATGTGAAGGTACAGTCATCACACAGGACATTTAGCTTTGTTATTCATAAAAAGTAATTGGAAAGACAATAATAAAACAAGTAATGATTCATATCCAAATCCATGAAGTGCTAAATATAATGATTGTTGAGGTGAAATATAGATTGTTGGTGATCATGGTATGCAAATGATAAAAAAAATATAATGTACATACTTGCAATCCTAAACTCCTCAAAAGAAGTAATCTCATTCCAATCCGTCGTCTCACTTGTACCTGTTGAGATAAGAGTATTATTCAGGATAATTGATAAGAAACCAATCAAAACACAATTACTTTAATCATAAAATGTAATCCTAGTTATCTTCGGTAATTAATTCCTGGTGGTTGCATTGATTTTGTGTACAAAATAACTACATAATATCAATGTCTTGATCATTATGATACCATTTTTAGAAACAAAGTGACATTTTTCTACCCCAATATCTCCTAAATAAAATTAGGTTGGGGGTTGAGCCAGTCAACTCCAAAGCCTGCCCTGTGAAGAAGTATATTAAAAACTTCAATTGTTTTCTTTATATAAAGTATAACAAAAACTATTATATGCTTCATATTTAAAAATATATCATTCTAAAATAGGAAAATAATTCATTTTGGTCAATATCCCTACTTTTTTGTCACCTTTTTCAATGTTCATAAATTTAACTATGGCGCCACATCTTGCCCATTCAATTTTGATGAAATTGGCAATATCTTGTTAAGTTGACCACATGTAACCAATTCAATATTTTTGTAAAGTAATCTCAACAGGAAAATGAAATTACTTTTCAATCAAACCTAAGTAGCATTTTTACAAATATCAATAACAAGTTTTAAGTTCAAAAAGAATGATAGTTTCAGTATCATAAAACTTAATGAACTTATCCATCATGATTAAATGCATACATACCACTCTCATCTACATTTTCTGTTGACTTCTAAAAATAGAAGATAAAAATTATAATGATTGTATTAGGAAATCAATTGATTTATCAAAAATTATCTAATAATGATAAGTATAAATTGTCTACATAATCAATTGTAAAAATCCTCTTGACAAAGTAAGAAATTTTAATTGTTTTCTAAGATTTGTTTTTTAGACGACTCTGAAAGACAATGTACATTTTTTAATGGTTATTAATATATTGAAATTAATATAACAATATAACATATTCTCCCTGAACCAAGAATGTATATCTAACCTGATCTTCATCTTTTTTCTGGATCTTCGGTTGTCTAACATTATCTACTAATGAAAAGAAATAAAACCATGAACCATTCAAATGTAAATGTTGATATTTTTTTGCAATTTATATTAACATTAATTGTTTCATTTTCTGTTATAAAAGACTAAATAAAACAAATTTTATTTGCGTAAGTGTGTCCAGAGGTTACCATATTTCATATCAACATAAGGTGATCAGAGGTGACAAAATCTGAAATCTACAGAAGGTGACCAGAGGTAACCAAATCCCATGTATGAATAAGATGACCAGATGTAACCAAATCAATTATCTGCATAAGGTGACCAGAGGAAGCCAAATCCGAAATATGCAGAAGATGACCAGATAATTACAATATCTGCATAAACTTAGGTAACCAAAACTTATATTTAAATCAGGTGACCAACAGTAACAAAACCCTATTATATCTTTTAAAAGTGACCAGTAATTACCAGATACCATATCTTGGGAAGATGACCACATGTATCCAAAATTAAGAATTTTGTAAGGAAATTCTAAAAGAATATTGAATTTACTTTTCAATCAAACCTTAGTAGCCGTTTTAACAAAAAATGATAACCAGTTTTGTGTTAGAATAGAATGATAATTTCAGTATTATAAAAACTTCATGTACTTATGCATCATATATAATGATTATATATCACAAATTAAATGCGTACATACCTCTTTCATCTACATTTTCTAGTGACTTCTGAAAAAAAAGATAACAAATACAATAATCGTATAAGGAAATCAATTGATTTATCAAAAATATCTACAGAGGATAAGTATCAATTATCAACTGAACATGCTCTTGGCAACGTTTGCAAATTAAATCATTCTCTAACGTTTGTTTTATAGATGATCATGGTAGACAAAGTTCATTCTGGTAATTGTAATAAAATATTAAAAGTAATATATAATACTTTTCTATATTCTTGTTGAACCCATGATGTATATCAAACCTGTTTTTCTTCTTTTTTCCCTCTCTTTGATTTTCTAGCATGTTCTAAAATGATAAAAAAACACAACATGACCAGTTGTAGGTAAATATTGATGACAAGAAATAACCAAATTCGAATAATACATAGGGTGGCCAGAGATTTCCAATATATGCATGAAATGAACGGAGGTAAACAAATCCAATATCGTCGTAAGGTGACCAGAGGTAAGTAAACACATTCAATATCGTCGTAAGGTGACCAGAGGTAACCAAATTCTATATGTTGTTCAGATGACCAGAGGTTACCATATACCATATCTTGTAAAGTTGACAACATGTAGCCAATTTAAATTTTTATAAGGTTATCCCAAAAGAAAAATGTTTTTTTTTAATTAAACCTTAAATGCCATTTCACAAAATTCGTAACAAGTTTAAAGTTTCAATAGAATAATAGTTGCAGTATTATATAGACACAAGGCGCTTATCCATCATAAATAAGAATTATATTTAACAAATTTAATGCATACATACCTCTTTTATCTACATTTTCTAGTGACTGAAAAAGAAGATAAAATATATAATGATTACATTAGGAAATCAATTGATTTATCCAAAATAATATAATGAGGGTAAGTATACATTGACTTAATAATCAACTTTAAATGCTCTTGTCAACGTTTGCAAGTTCAAGCATTTTCTAAGATTTGTTTTTTAAAAGATCAGGATAGACAATGTTCATTCTGTTGAGATCATTAATATTTTAAATGTAATATGCAATACAATTCTATAGTCTTGCTGAACCAGTAATGCATATCAAACCTGTTCTTGTTCTTTTTTCCTTCTCTTCGATTGTCTTACATTTCCTACAAATAATAACAAAAAATAACATGACTTATGTTTTGATGACCAGAGTTAATTAAATCTGAAATCTGCATAAGGTGACCAGAGGTCCTCAAATCCAATATCTGCATAAGGTGACCAGAGGTTCCCAAATCCAATATCTGCATAGGGTGACCAAAGGTCCCCAAATCATATATCTGCATAAGGTGAACAGATATATAACAAATCAAATTTCTTCATAGAGTCACCAGAGGTCCCCAAATCGGAAATCTGCATAAGAAGACCAGAGGTCCTCAAATCCAATATCTGCATAAGGTGACCAGGAACTCTAATCCAATATCTGCATAAGGTGAACAGAGGTCCCAAAATCCAATATCTGCATGAGGTGACCAGATTTATCCAAATCCAATATCTTCTTAAAGTGACAAGAGGTCCCCAAATCCAATATTTGCATAAAGTGACCAGAGGTCCTAAAATCCAATATCTGCATAAGGTGACCAGAGGTCCCCAAATCCAATATCTGCATAAGGTGACAAGAGGTTACTAAATCTAGTATCTGCATTAGATGACCAATGGTAATCCGATTCCATATCATGTTAAGATCACTAGAGATAATCTGATACCATATATGATAAAATTGATCACTTATAGCTAATTAAATATTTTTCTAAGTTAATCCAAAGAGAAAAAGAAATTTTTCAATCAAACCTAAGTAGCGATTTTAAAGCTATCGATAACAAGTTGTAAGTTTAAATAGAAATTTAGTTTCAGTATCATATAGACGTAATGAACCTATCCATCATACTAAAAAAATAAATACACTTTCATCTTCATTTTCTGTTGACTTCTGAAAAAAGAAGTTAAATATTAAATAATCGTATAGGAAATCAACTGATTTATCCAAAGGATCTAATGAAGATACGTATAAATTGACTTCATTATCGGCTCTTGACAACGCAAGCAAATTCAATTATTTTTAAGATTTATTTCTAAATGATCATGGAAGATAATGTACATTTTTTCTGTTCAGTGTTACTTAGATAGTAAATATAATGTTATAGTATTCTATATTTTGAACCAATGATATATACAAACCTGTTCTTCTTTTTTCACCCTCTTCAAATTTCTCACATTTTCTACAAATGATAAAAAAAACTCAACATTTAAAAAAGAAATTGTGGTATTATTGCCAATGAGACAACTGTTCACAACAAACCAAATGACACAGAAATTAACAAGTATAAGTCACTGTACGGCCTTCAACAATGAGCAACGTCCATACCGCATAGTCAGTTATTAAAGGCCCGGAAATAAGAAATGTAAAATAATTCAAACGATCATACATCTAAGACTACATATGACCAATTTTTGTAAAATTTAATGACCAGTGAATAACAAAATCCGAAATCTGCAAAAGGTGTCAACTGTCAAGAGAATTCCAATAACAACAGAAAGTGACCAAAGATAACTAAATACAGTATCTGCTTCAGGTGATCAGTGTTAACACAATTCTATATCATTTTAAGGTTGCTTAGGGTACTCAAATACCATATCTGGGAAAGTTGACCATATGCAGCCAATTAAATATACCAAAAATAATTAATTTCAATCAAACCGAAAAAGCCATTTTACAGCTATCGATAACAAGTTTTAAGTTCAAAAAGAATAATAGTTGCAGCATTATATAAACATAGTGTATGTTTTCATCATATTAAAGGTTTGATACAATAAATTAAATGCATACATACCACTTTCATCTACATTTTCTGAGGACTTCTAAAAAAAAAAGATAAACATCTGATATTTGTATTAGTAAATTCAATTTTATTTATCCATAATTATCTTATGAGGATAAGTAAAAATTGACAAAATTTTCAACTGTCAATGCTCTTGGCAATGTTTGCAAGGTCAATGATTTTCAAAGATTTGTTCTTTAAAAGATCAGGATAGACAATGATCATTCTGTTGAGTGCTATTAATATTTTAAATGTAATATGCAATACAATTCTATAGCCTTGCTGAACCAGTAATGCATATTAACCTTTTCTTGTTCTTTTTTTCCTCTCTTCGATTGTCTTACGTTTCCTACAAATGATAAAAAACATAACATGACTTATGTTTTGATGACCAAAGGTAACAAAATCCAATATTTACATAGGGTGACCAGAGGTCACCAAATCCAATATTTACATAAGGTGACCAGAGGTCACCAAATCTAATATTAACATTAGGTGACCAGAAGTCACCAAATCCAGTATTTACATAAGATGAACTGAGGTCACCAAATCCAATATATGAATAAGGTGACTAGAAGTTACTCCATTCTAGCATATTAAGGCAAACAGAGGTTAACAAATCCGAACTGGTTAAGATGACCACATGTAATCAACTTAAATAATAGTTGCAGCATTATATAAATATAGTGTATGTTTCCATCATATTAAAAGTTTGATACAATGAATTAAATGCATACATACCACTCTCATCTACATTTTCTGAGGACTTCTGAAAAAAGAAGATAAGTATATGATAATTGTATTAGTAAATTCAATTTTATTTATCCAAAAGTATCTTATGAGGATCAGTTTTATTTTATTTAATTATCAACTGTCCGTGCTCTTGGCAATGTTTGAAAGATCAATGATTTTTCTTTAATTTGTTTGTAGATGATCATGAAAGATAATGATCATTGTGTAAAGTTTTATCGGTACATTAAACTTAATGTAATAATATTCTATATTCTTGTTGAATCCATAATGTATATCAAACCTGTTCTTCTTCTTTTTTGTCTTTCTTTGATTGTCTCAAATTTTCTACAAATGATATGAAAAACATCAACTAGTTGTATGCAAATGTTATTTACCAGAGATAACCAAATCTGAAAACTGCATAAGGTGACCAGAGGTAACCAAATCCAATATTAACATAAGGTGACCAGAGGTCACCAAATCCTATATTTCCATAAGATGACCAGAGGTAACCAAATCCAATATATGAATAAGGTGACTAGAAGTTACCCCATTCTAGCATATTAAGGCCAACAGAAGTTAACAAATCCCATTTCTGGCTAAGATGACCACATGATATCAACTTAAATATTTGTGTAAGGTAATCAAGAAACAAAAAAAAATGATTAGTTCAATCGAGCCTAAGTGGCCATTTTACCAGAAACGATTGATAGTTTCAAGTTCAAAAAGAATAATAGTTGCAGCATTATATAAATATAGTGTATGTTTCCATCATATTAAAAGTTTGATACAATGAATTAAATGCATACATACCACTCTCATCTACATTTTCTGAGGACTTCTGAAAAAAGAAGATAATTATATGATAATTGTATTAGTAAATTCAATTTTATTTATCCAAAAGTATCTTATGAGGATCAGTTTTGTTTTATTTAATTATCAACTGTCCGTGCTCTTGGCAATGTTTGAAAGATCAATGATTTTTCTTTAATTTGTTTGTAGATGATCATGAAAGATAATGATCATTGTGTAAAGTTTTATCGGTACATTAAACTTAATGTAATAATATTCTATATTCTTGTTGAATCCATAATGTATATCAAACCTGTTCTTCTTCTTTTTTGTCTTTCTTTGATTGTCTCAAATTTTCTACAAATGATATGAAAAACATCAACTAGTTGTATGCAAATGTTATTTACCAGAGATAACCAAATCTGAAAACTACATAAGGTGACCAGAGGTAACCAAATCCAATATTAACATAAGGTGACCAGAGGTCACCAAATCCTATATTTCCATAAGATGACCAGAGGTGACCAAATCCAATATATGAATAAGGTGACTAGAAGTTACCCCAATCTAGCATATTAAGGCCAACAGAAGTTAACAAATCCCATTTCTGGCTAAGATGACCACATGATATCAACTTAAATATTTGTGTAAGGTATTCAAGAAACAAAAAAAATGATTAGTTCAATCGAGCCTAAGTGGCCATTTTACCAGAAACGATTGCAAGTTTCAAGTTCAAAAAGAATAATAGTTGCAGCATTATATAAATATAGTGTATATTTCCATCATATTAAAAGTTTGATACAATGAATTAAATGCATACATACAACTCTCATCTACATTTTCTGAGGACTTCTGAAAAAAGAAGATAAATATATGATAATTGTATTAGTAAATTCAATTTTATTTATCCAAAAGTATCTTATGAGGATCAGTTTTATTTTATTTACTTATCAACTGTTCGTGCTCTTGGCAATGTTTGAAAGATCAATGATTTTTCTTTAATTTGTTTGTAGATGATCATGAAAGATAATGATCATTGTGTAAAGTTTTATCGGTACATTAAACTTAATGTAATAATATTCTATATTCTTGTTGAATCCATAATGTATATCAAACCTGTTCTTCTTCTTTTTTGTCTTTCTTTGATTGTCTCAAATTTTCTACAAATGATATGAAAAACATCAACTAGTTGTATGCAAATGTTATTTACCAGAGATAACCAAATCTGAAAACTACATAAGGTGACCAGAGGTAACCAAATCCAATATTAACATAAGGTGACCAGAGGTCACCAAATCCTATATTTCCATAAGATGACCAGAGGTAACCAAATCCAATATATGAATAAGGTGACTAGAAGTTACCCCATTCTAGCATATTAAGGCCAACAGAAGTTAACAAATCCCATTTCTGGCTAAGATGACCACATGATATCAACTTAAATATTTGTGTAAGGTAATCAAGAAACAAAAAAAATGATTAGTTCAATCGAGCCTAAGTGGCCATTTTACCAAAAACGATTGCAAGTTTCAAGTTAAAAAAGAATAATAGTTGCAGCATTATATAAATATAGTGTATGTTTCCATCATATTAAAAGTTTGATACAATGAATTAAATGCATACATACCACTCTCATCTACATTTTCTGAGGACTTCTGAAAAAAGAAGATAAATATATGATAATTGTATTAGTAAATTCAATTTTATTTATCCAAAAGTATCTTATGAGGATCAGTTTTATTTTATTGAATTATCAACTGTCCGTGCTCTTGGCAATGTTTGAAAGATCAATGATTTTTCTTAAATTTGTTTGTAGATGATCATGAAAGATAATGATCATTGTGTAAAGTTTTATCGGTACATTAAACTTAATGTAATAATATTCTATATTCTTGTTGAATTCATAATGTATATCAAACCTGTTCTTCTTCTTTTTTGTCTTTCTTTGATTGTCTCAAATTTTCTTCAAATGATATGAAAAACATCAACTAGTTGTATGCAAATGTTATTTACCAGAGATAACCAAATCTGAAAACTGTATAAGGTGACCAGAGGTAACCAAATCCAATATTAACATAAGGCGACCAGAGGTCACCAAATCCAATATTTCCATAAGATGACCAGAGGTGACCAAATCCAATATATGAATAAGGTGACTAGAAGTTACCCCATTCTAGCATATTAAGGCCAACAGAAGTTAACAAATCCCATTTCCGGCTAAGATGACCACATGATATCAACTTAAATATTTGTGTAAGGTAATCAAGAAACAAAAAAAATGATTAGTTCAATCGAGCCTAAGTGGCCATTTTACCAGAAACGATTGCAAGTTTCAAGTTCAAAAAGAATAATAGTTGCAGCATTATATAAATATAGTGTATGTTTTCATCATATTAAAGGTTTGATACAATAAATTAAATGCATACATACCACTCTGATCTACATTTTCTGAGGACTTCTGAAAAAAGAAGATAAACATATGATAATTTTATTAGTAAATTCAATTTTATTTATCCAAAAGTGTCTTATGAGGATCAGTTTTATTTTATTTAATTATCAACTGTCAGTGTTCTTGGCAATGTTTTAAAGATCAATGATTTTTCTTAAATTTGTTTGTAGATGAGCATGAAAGATAATGATCATTGTGTAAAGTTTTATCAATATATTAAACTTAATGTAATAATATTCTATATTCTTGTTGAATCCATAATGTATATCAAACCTGTTCTTCTTCTTTTTTGTCTTTCTTTGATTGTCTCAAATTTTCTACAAATGATATGAAAAACATCAACTAGTTGTATGCAAATGTTATTTACCAGAGATAACCAAATCTGAAAACTACACAAGGTGACCAGAGGTCACCAAATCCAATATTAACATAAGGTGACCAGAGGTAACCAAATCCAATATATGAATAAGGTGACTAGAAGTTACCCCATTCTAGCATATTAAGGCCAACAGAAGTTAACAAATCCCATTTCTGGCTAAGATGACCACATGATATCAACTTAAATATTTGTCTAAGGTAATCAAGAAACAAAAAAAATGATTAGTTCAATCGAGCCTAAGTGGCCATTTTACCAGAAACGATTGCAAGTTGTAAGTTCAAAAAGAATAATAGTTGCAGCATTATATAAACATAGTGTATGTTTCCATCATATTAAAAGTTTGATACAATAAATTAAATGCATACATACCACTCTGATCTACATTTTCTGAGGACTCCTGAAAAAAGAAGATAAGCATATGATAATTGTATTAGTAAATTCAATTTTATTTATCCAAAAATATCTAATGAGGATCAGTATTATTTTTATTTAATTATCAACTGTCAGTGTTTTTGGCAATGTTTGAAAGATCAATGATTTTTCTTTAATTTGTTTGTAGATGATCATGAAATATAATGATCAATGTGTAAAGTTTATCCGTATATTAAACTTAATGTAATAATATTCTATATTCTTGTTGAATCCATAATGTATATCAAACCTGTTCTTCTTCTTTTTTGTCTTTCTTTGATTGTCTAAAACTTTCTACAAATGAAATGAAAAACATCAACTAGTTGTATGTAAATGTTAATTACCAGAGATAACCAAATCTAAAATATGCATATGGTGACCAGAGGTAACCGAATCCAATATTAACATAAGGTGACCAGAGGTCACCAAATCTGAAATCTGCATTAGGTGACCAGAGGTAACCAAATCCAGTATTTCCATAAGGTGACCAGAGATAACCAAATCTAATATATGAATAAGGTGACCAGAGGTAACCAAACCCGTTATTAACATAAGGTGACCAGAGGTCACCAAATCCAATATATGAATAAGGTGACCAGAAGTAACCCCGTTGTAGTAAGGCAAACAGAGGTTAACAGATCTAATTTCTGGTAAAAATGACCACATGTAATCAAAATTAAATATTTGTGTAAGGTAATCAAGAAACAAAAAATTATTTGTTCAACTAAGCCTAAGTGGCCATTACCAGAAACGATTGCAAGTTTTAAGTTCAAAAAGAATATTAGTTGCAGCATTATATGAACTTTGTGTACATATCTATCATATTAAAGGTTTAATTCAATAAATTAAATGCATACAAACCACTCTCAAGGTGACCACAAGTATTCAGATGCAATATCGCGGTAAGGTGAGCAGAGGTAACAAAACCTAATATTTACATTATGTGACAAGAGCTAGCAAATCCAATAAATACATATGGTGACCAGAGGTAACCAAATCCAATATCAGCATAGGTGACTAGATGAACGTATTCGAATATTTACATAAGTTGACCTGAAGTAACCAAATCCGTTATCTTCATTAGGTGACAAGAGGTTACCAAATCAATTATCTGCATAAGGTACACAGTGGTAACCAAATCCTATATATGCGTAAGATGACCAGATGTAACCAAATCCTATATGCGGAAGGTGACCAGTGGTAACAATTCAAATATTTGCAGAAGGTAACCAGAGTTAACCGAATACTATTTTAGCATAAGTTGACCAGATGTAACAAAAGCCGCTATTTGCATAAACTAACAGAGGTAATCAAATCCAATAATTGCATAGGTTGACCAGAGGTAATACAATACTTTTTTGCATAAGATAACCAGAGGTAACCAAATTCAATATTTGCATTAGTTGATCAGAGTTAACAAAATCTGAAATCTGCATAAGGTATTATCCATCATATTAATTGATTTAATCAACAAATTAAATGCATACATACCATTCTCATCTAAAATTTGTATGGACTTCTGAAAAAAGAAGATAAAAATATAATAATTGTATAAGGAAATCAATTGATTTATTCAGAAGTATCAAGTGAGAACAAGCATAAATTGACCCGATTTTTAATTGTGAATGTTCTTGACAATTTTTGCAAGTTCGTTCATTTTTTTTAGATGATCAGGAAGAAAATTCGATGGTAAAGTGTTTTCAATGAATAAACATTTAAAATGTTATGCAACAATCATCTGTAGTCTTGATGAACCAATTATAGATATCAAACCTGTTGTTGTTCTTTTTTTCCTCTCTTTGAATGTCTAACTTTTTCTAAAAAAAAGAATAAACAAAATCCATGAAGAGAAACTAAAGGTTAATATTTTTAAAGTCAGTACAATTCAGAGTAAAAATATATACTCAAATTATTAAATTGCAATATAAAAAAAGGGTAACCTCTCTGTCAAGTATAGATTACCTTGAACAACACGAACCATTTAGTGCTTTTAAATAAGTGTGGGTGAAACATAAAAAAATTAATAGCTTAACGTGAACTTACTTCTAGCGAAAACTGTGTGAATCATATATATTCATAGGAATTAATTCAGAAGCATGCTTTATTATTTTTTCTGCATGCATTTATGTTTATCTATCATTGATTATAATGTAATGTAAAATTGATACAGGATAGAAATGAAGTTGTGATAAAGATACATGACTTCACAGCAGAGATAATAAATAAGGAAATTGTAATTATTGTGTCAAGCAGAACATTAAGTGAGAACTATAATATGTAAAAGTAGTGGCATATTGACTACACATTGATTATATTTGAAGCGTACAGATTTAGGATAAAGCACACCAAACTAAAAGTTCACAGTATTTTATACATTACCATACATCTGTATATAAGAAACAAAAAAATAAATAAAATCCAACAGCTTATACAATGCAAACAAGAAACTGACAAGTTATATAACAAAATCATTTGAAAAGACAATATTTAAAGAAGACTTAAAAAGTAGTGTGCACTAAGCAAACGGTACCTATGCCAGCGTCATTCTGTATTAATCAACTAAGTCATGAGGGGGAACATTAAACGTCTGCCTTTACCATGTGAGTCTGAATGTGAGAACAACAAATCTTTGGATTTCAAAGATATCTTAGAATAAGTTCATTTAGTGCAATCTATAAAAAATGTAAGAAATATCAACATGAATATATCTACAAAAATTAATAAGTCGACTTCTGTTATGAAATTAAACGCAACTTATAGAATTATTGAACAAATGGAAGAACAATGATCATTCTACAATTTTGTTATATCGCATTTTGTCCTTGCAAATTAAATTCTATTTCATTGTATTACTTTAAAAAAAAATAGAAATGGTAGAATTTTCTATTGCACTCACCAGGTGGAAAAATTGAGCACAGACTGCATAGTCCTGGAGTCATACACTTTTTGTGGAAATTCCTTTTACAGCATGAACATGCTCTCTGCAATATTTAATAGACATGTTCAAATTCTATGAATTAATGTAGTTATTGCGAAAAATGTTAATATTAGTGAAAGTTCATCAAATTGATATAAAAAAAACCATTTATATTCTAACCTACAATATCACAAGGTTCTGTTAAAAAATTATCAATTTTAACCATAAAACGTATTTAAATAAGCAATAAAAATAATAAAGCACCCTGTTAAGTTGAACATCAACGATCTATAAATGTATATTTACCATGTTAGTTGGTTCTTTAGCACACAAGAAGCATGTCATAACAGCACCTTTTGTTTCTATAGTAAAATAGAAATAGATGTTAACATGAATTAGGAACAACATTCTTCTGCTCCAAATCACAAATTGCAGCAGCTGATAATAAGTCATAAAATTGAAAATGTTTACACTTGGTTGATGTTATTTTTTACGTTCCTTCCCGTAGATGGTAATTATGATGGTGATGCTCATTGATGACAGCGGCAGTTTATATGAAGAAGACAATCGCATAAATATATCGGCTAACTTAATTAGACCTACAAAAACTAGTTGATTTTTAAACATCTACTTTCCATGTTTATATTTCCATTAATAAGATCGTAATATTTGACAACAACACATTATCATACATATATAAGACATAGAATATCATAAAAATAAGTACAGTTTGAGCTGTAGAAAAAAGAGAGAAATTATTACAGAAAACAACCGGAATTATTAAGCTATTATTTCCAAACTACATTTTTAAGTATAACATATCAATAATGAATAATACATTAAAGAAACATAAATACATCATTTATAGCGTAAAGAAATTTGGTCAGAAACAATAGATAAAATTAAAAACAAATCATCAATGAATTGAGATAAACATCAAAGAAAAGGATTTCAAACACATTATTGAACATGTTAAAATTCATATTCCCTTTTTATTAGATTCACTTATTGTCTAGCAAGAAGATATTAAGTATTTACATAACATACGGTACTATTAGTAAATGCTTTTATTCTATTGATTACTTACGCACAGCTTGAACAATTTCACTGCTAATTGTGAATCTTTCAGCTTGGACGTTTAATTCCAAAGATGTATCTGTCTTACTTAGGTATCGGTCGAGGAACTAAAAAAATAATTCTTAAATGTACACATTGTTTTGTAAATTTTCTATGGCCTGTTCAAATCTGAATGTTTAAATTACTGAAATGATTCATGTAGGCCTAATAATGATATAAAAATGTTTTTTTTACAAAAGGTAAATTAAAAGTACCACATATTTATTTGTTTTTCTTTCCATTACATTTAAAGTAATTTATGCAAATCATAGATTTGGTTAAATTTCACACAACCTTTGTGCTTTGCGGATTTTACTGAAATAGTTTACATGATATATATTCCAAGTTATTGTTTACACATATTTAAATAAACAGGTTTGGGAAACAAGTTGTTTACAACTTACAACAATATTTTGTTCATCTTGTTTGTACGATTCTGCCTTTTTTTCAAAATCAACAAGGGTGTCTTTTACGTGCAAAATTGTGATCTTTATTAGTATATATATACCATTGATTTAAGATTCAAGCTTCAATTGAACTTTCATTTATTAACTCTCAATTCATACATGCAAAGCCCAATGTTTTATGTACCTTCAAACAATAAACACCACATGAGCTAAAATCATTTTGCAGAGGATACCCAACTGCTGTACAGATTGTCCATGTACCAAGATCTCTGCTTTTAGTGAAATAGCTACATAATATAATATGAAAAGAAAAATGTGTTACTTAAAATTGATATATATTAAAAAGTCAAGCTGGCTATAGCCATAATGCCAGCCATTGCCTTACCCCGGACTGTATCATAGAACTTACATGTCTAGCTAGATGTATGATACTTAAGGAGATATTGCACATTCCATAGAAAACCGTTCATTTGACCAACCTTTCTAATGTAGGAAAAAAAATAATTGCAGCTGTTTTAAAGTTGATATCAACAACGTTTGGAAAAAAATAACTGGTCTTCAGTTCTTACTGCTATATTCAATTTACAAAGCTGTGCAATCAATAATACAATTATAGTTCAATTCCAGTATCAGCCAGAAGTAATTTTCATTTTAGATTAACAAATTATATTTCTCTAGATTTGTCCTTATAACTTGTGACTCACTTCTGAAAATTTCAGAATAATAAACTTTTTTTTAAGTATATATATCAAACACAGAAATAAAAATTTACTTTGAAACAAATCACATGCATTAAAGCAATAAACGACTGTCATGTAACTACAGTTTCAATCTTACTTGAAATTCTTTTCATATGTTCTCAATTTCTTTGATATTTTGAGCGGGTCCATAATTGTCACAATATGGTGTTGGACATCCATAACCTGAAACAAAAATTATTCTCTCTTTTTAATTTCACATACTTAAATCTGTTTACATTAACATTTATAAACAAATAAATATTTTGCTTAATTACTGGTTGTTGCTCAATGTTCAGAAGCAAATATTTGATAATATTCTATACGAAGAAGCCAATATTTTATATCTGATATTTCTTTTCTAACTATCATTTCCATGCAGTATAAATGCTTTCATATAAATGAGTGCAAAATCAGTTGGAAAAATGTATGAGAAAATATATATATTAAGTCAAGTAAGTTGAATTAAGTTATAGAAGAACAACTAACATGACTAAAAACTCAACGAAATGTCTGAAATGCTGTTCTTGCAACTCATTTTTCTATTAACTTATAACCTCATGGAAAAATGCCTGAATAGTGTAATTAATAACATTAATTGAGCAAATAAACCTACCACAGCAACCCAATGACACTTCCCGTCATTAATGCACCCAATGACAGTGTCATACTGTTGTATATCGTCCTAAAAAAGTATTGTAAAATGTTATTATTAACTTGCAAACTGATAAAAAAAAGACCGATGAAACATTAAATACATTTTATAAACAGCAATATAATACCATACACAATACAATATTTAGCATATTGTTTTATTATTTATCATTTGATAATTTACATATATCATCAATATGTTAGAATGTCTTATTATTTTGTTAAAACGTGAAAGGCGAATTGGTAATATCCAGCTTTTAGCTGTAAAAAGAGTAATCTATGTGTAAATCAAAAGCACTTATATAAAAAGAGTTTATAACAGATGATTATATAGTATTATACCTTTTTAAACCAAGTTACGCTTTTCCTCCCTTCAAAAATTGAGGTCAGAATCAGACAATCTGCACGGGACACTTTCTGGAAAACGGAAATATGTATAAAACAAATTGTGTGACAAGAACATTGGATTTATTTAACTGTTTCTATTACATCGGAACGTGAAATAATATAAGGTTTTTCTTGCCTGGTTCAATACTTCTTCAAAGTCAGTATGAAATTACCCATCAAAAATACGAGGAATAAAAGTAAATTCATTTTTCTCATAGTTAATGAGTTGTGCATATATTTCCTTAACGACAATTCCAAATGGGATATAACTCTTATAAGGAATATCCAGATAGCTTCGGTTAAATAATATATGACATCATAAGGGTGTAACGAGTAATTGAGTAAACTAATAAAATATCGCAGTAGATGTATCTACACGCAAAATCGAGATTGGGGAGGTAACTCTATTAATGAGAGTAAAAAGTCTTCGTTAGGGCAATGGCGAAAGCTCATAAGCTGTACGATATCATATAAAACAAAGTCAAAGCTACATCTGTTAAAAATAATAGCTCAACTTAAAAAAGGCGAACAAAATATAAATAATAATATCAAAATAATGATAATAATTATAATCCTTAAGTAAAGCTAAAAGTCTTTCAACCGAAAGGTAGAAAGACCTTAAATTATATAAAAGGGAAAAAATAAAAGATGATTTAGTGGAACAAATATTTCATTCTCTGCAAAAAGGGTGGTGGGTGCGAAAGTAACTTTTACAATACACAGTTTACTTTGGTGAAATTGGAAATGAATAAAAAATGCATAAAACAAGTTTAGAATGATAATTCAGATACCCTTAATGGAGGAATGGATCATGTAGAAAAAGCGAAATTAAATGAATTGATCCTGGAAGTTACAAAAAAATAAGCATGCTTTAAAGTAGCCGATGAAAAAATCAGTCAACTCTAAAATAAATGCACTGAAATATGATAAAACGGTTATTAAATAAATACTTTTAATTCGTTTACCTGTACACACTGATCCGTCCGTTTTTGCAGTACACTACAATAAAGATTAATTATCTGAAGAAAAAAAAGAAAATGATAAGGTCAGATCTTTTCAATCAGTATGATACAAAGGAAACCATCAACAAAACTAAATATCACAAAGGTGAAGACATACAAGTTTGATCAAGATAACACATAACATAAAGTACCATGATTGTGTTATCAGTTTAAGACAGATTATTTAAAAAAATCCTTGTACATTTTATAGAACTAAATAAAATCAAAAGACCTCCAAAAACCTGAATGACTTACCTGCATTTTTTTTGTTGTTAAATCTTTCATCAATGATTATTTCTGCTTTTCAATGGAAATAAAGTAGTGCTTACATTGTCAAATTGGTATTTAATTTTTTTTGGTATCTGTCATATTTTCTTCAATGGCAAAACAATGCATTTTAAACCAATATGCTATTAAGCCATAGTGACTATATTTCTTGGCATAAAAGAAAACACAATTACTTACAGGCCAGTAACTCTTTAAGGGGTCACAAAAATTAGCAATTTAGTGGCATCAACCAAACAATGGGTAGTTTTATTTGTCTGAAAATGCTTTACCTAATGAACCTTTTCACCAATGTCAGATTTAATTTTATTCTAGATACCCTAAGGATGATTAAGCTTACGTTTGGTTGGAATTGGTTCAGTAGTTTCAGAGGAGAGTTCAAGATCTTTGAAAACGTTTAACCTTTATTACATAAATTAAACCATTAGTACTGTTACCTGATCATTCAACTCCTCCTCAATTTTTAAGCTCATTAAATCCGATACGTAAAGAACATTCCCATACACCGTACCAAACTTTTCGTCAGCATTTCCTTTCCATGAATCCCATATAGTTTCCAAAAATGCTTTAAATAAATAATCATTTTTAACAATCAAAGTAATACAAATAATAATACCTGAAACAAATGACATCAATTAAGTTTCTTTTAAATTTTGGAATTCTACGAAAACAGAAGTGCAATCTTGTTTAGCACAGAAGATCACAATATTTGGGTAGGGTGACCAGAAGTAGCCGCAGTCAATATTATATAAACAATAGGTGCCATATTATTTAAGTCTATAACCGTTTAAATTGCAAAGAGGTAATAAAGGTTTACAAGTTACAGAATGACATGAGGTAATTAATATCAACATATGTGTAGGGTTAGCAGAGTAAGTCAGAAACTATGTAGGGTGACCAGAGGTCAACCAAAGTCACTATCAGTGAAGGGCGACAAGATGTAACCAGTCAATATATTTGTAAGGTAAGCGAATGTTAACTAAGACAATATGCGTAGGGTGACCAGATTTAATCAAAGAATATATATCTGTTTAAATGTCGCAGAGCTAGCCAAAGTTCATAACTTTGTCACCTGACTAAAGTTAACTAAAATCAATATATGTGTAAGATGACCACAGGTTACAAAAGTCAATTACTATGTAAGGTGACCAAATGTAGAGAAAGTCAATAAATGGGAAGGGGTGACCAGAGGGCACCAGTCCATAAATCTGTAGGGGACAAATGTAACCCAAATCTGTATATGTGTGAACTGCCTACAAGTTAACAAGTTTGATAATTGTGCGGGGGTAACTCAGGTCAATAACTTAGTAGGAAAAGAGGTTATAAAGTCATTTTATGTGAAGGGTGACCAGAGGCAACCTAAGTCAATATATGAGTAGGGTGACCAGAGATAACCGAAGTTAATATCTGTGTTAGGTGACCAGAGGTAACCAAAGTTAATATATGTGAAAGGTGACCAGAGGGCACCAGTCAATAAATCTCTATGGCGACCAGATGTAATCTTTATTCAAAATCTATATCTATGTAAACTGCCGACAGCAAACGAAAGACAATATCTGTCACGTGTATGGCGTTAGGAAGTAACCAGTTTCAATATATATGAAGGGTGACCAAAGGTAACCATTGTTTAATCTGGAAGATATGATGTTAGTATGCACACAATTACTGCACAGAGTTTGGTAATTTTAATTTTCCAACGAAAGAAAGAGGTAGGGCCAATATGCCGAGGATTTTTTTTCACAGAAGGGCCAATTTCAAAAAGTGCCGACAGAATAAAATTTACTATAAAAACAAAAAATAAAAATGCTTTTTGATCAATATCTCGATTTACATATAGTATGATATGTGTGATCAATAGTTAATTTAACCCTAAAAAATTATGAAAATCCAATATCCGGATTTTCGGGTGTTTTTATGTGGAAAAAACAGGGAATCCCCCAAGAAGGACATTTCAAACCAAAAAAAAGTTATGCTTTTTATGACTGTTGTTATTCATACTACTTTTTACTTCAAAAATGAAATTGGTTTAGTGTGTCCTTATTACATAAAAAACAACTTTTTAAAGAAAAAATTGTAACATCGATAAATTGTACCGATATACCTTCTAAATAAGAGTCATAATGATCAGAATCGCCGTAGCTCCACCATTAGAGCACAGAACTACTAATAAATGATGAATTTGAAGAAAGGGTTCGAACCTCGCTCAGAACTTTTGCATTTTTTTGTGTTGTTATATTAAATTTTAAAGTTTCTATCATATTTTTTCGGATGTTTGCTTGACTCATAGAGTCATTCTGGTTCATTTTGACTATTCAGTTAGTTTACTAGTATATAATTTTACGTGTATCAAAGAAAAATAATGTATCGCTTATTGTGTGCAATCCTATGACTGTCCATACTCTTGAATTACTTTCTATTCATGTGTTTACATTATTACGTATATCCAAGGGACAACTGCCGTCAAATTGATGTAGGTGCCTGTACATAACCAATAACACGAGAATTAATTCTATAGAAATTAAGCCTACATGTTGCGGGTGTAATATACACATAACTTAAAATAAGGCCATTGTATACAAGTTTCATAACAACAAAAAACAATTCGTTGAAACCTTTTTTGAACATGGTATTATATGTAACAAATGCAGTCAACAACAATTTTGTCGCCAAATCACAAACTGTAAAGATACTAGTACTGAAATTTTTACCACCTTCTATACACGGGTACCTAACTCATCAGAAAAATAAAACAACATAACAGAACAAATCAATTACACTACAAATCGCGATTGTAGGTAAAACATCAAGAAGCTGTTGCATCTGTATCACAACGAAGGGCCGATTTGTTAAAATTACAGAAAAGGCAATAAAACATGAAGTAGTAACACAGGGTGATCTATGACCAACTGATGTAAGATGTTCTCCGGTTTTAATTTTATATACATGTACATGTATTTTCTTGTCTTATCTTATAGACGATAAAACCTTAAAAGACCAGGACAAATACAGATATACATATTCAGAATGAGAAAATCACGATTTGAATTAGTTCGATATTATTTGGCTCCTTGACAATTTAAATGGTATGGCACCTCGCATAAAGGATGTTAATAATAAAATAAAATCAATATTAAAAAACAATAGTCTTGGCCTTGTTTTTGTAGGAATACCTGTTCAAGGTATGAAAATAAATAATGTGACGTATTTTCTTGTACTATAATTAGCATCTATCGGGCTATTTAAAACATTATTTACCTATCTTATCGAATGAAACAAATCTCCGGCAAATTGGCCCTCCCTCTTTATTTTTTTGGATTCCTAGCAGTTTTATGTTATGGTTTACGTCTACTTTGAAATTTAATTGTAATTTTATTTATTTCATATCGGTTCAGAATAAGATTCTCTTATTGGATAAAAAGGGGTAATATGACATTCATTATTTTTCAGTAATAAATTCCATCCTTCATTAACAGAACAAAACGGACCAGAAAACTGGTCGTTAACGAACTTTTACATGAAAATGACAGGTGGGCGTGGTTTCCGTCTGATAATGACCGTTGAGGCGTGGTTTCTCTGTAAATGACCGTTGGGGCGTGGTTTCTCTGTTAATGACCAATGGGGCGTGGTTTCTCTGTTTAGAGAGATTTATCCATTTTTAAAACATGTTCCTTTCTTTAATATTATATTTAATTTGTTGAATTGTTTATTATTTGTTTTTGTTAATAATAAAATTAAAGAGAACTTGATTAAGTATTTATATACTGAAAAATTGCACTAAAATGAATGGGAGTATTCCTACAACTGGTCTTCACTCTCTGCCATACAAATCGTACGTCAACTACTCGAGTTCGCTTTAGGCATTTTGAATTAATGAAAATTTTCAAAACATAGTTCCTCAATGAAATAAACATAATAGTTCTTCAAAAAAAACTGGTCATTATCGTGATACATGGACTGCCCGTAGGACAGTAATATTGACTATGACAGCGATAATGACCTCGCCTTCGCGTCATTATCGCTACCTTAGTCAATACCACTGTCCTGTGAGCGGTCCAACTATTATATAAATATTAAATCCTGAATTAAAAGGATTAAGTCGATTAGAATGTGACCTTACTCTTAATACTGTTCAATGGCATTTTAATATAATTACACCAACTATATATAGCTAACAACATTACAAATGTCTACATTCATAAATACATATAAATATGTTACTGGTTGAGTTGACAAATAAAACTGTAAGATCAGCATAACATCAGAAGAAACCTTCTCAAGCTCAAGAGATAAATCATTGAAAAATATTATTAAAAGTAAATGTCATAATATGGAACCTTCTGGTACTCTTGATCAAACCTCTAAAGTAGGTAAATCCCTAACTTTGTATTGTGTAACTTTTGTCTTCCGTTTGTAAGGTGGCACTAGATCAATAGCATTTCCTTTCTTCTTGAAGATAAATATAGAATTGATTTAAAAATTTACCTTTACTTCTTTCTTTTATGACAGCTAACATTATCCTTAAAAAATATTAAAATACAGTTCATCCATTGCTTAAGTTATCTTAACATTATCAATATCATCAACTACATGTATAAGATTAGGCCGTGTTCACATTGACTTAAACTCGGTGTTGTGTTAGTGTAACTCACACATTAACTAAACATAATTGCGTTCCCATTGATAAAACTTAATGTTTACATGAAGATTTAATCAAGACTCATCTATCATCTTTGCCGAACACATAGTTCATTTGAAAAGGTCTTCCTGAATCGATCAGACGTACACACTGACAGAAATATTTGCCACTGGTCTTTATACTCAAACAGCGATTCACTTATAAATGCATTACTGAAAAAGGGGGAGGTTAATTGTTTGTTTGTGTAGTATCTGAGACTCGTTAAAATACTATTAGAAATAATAAAAAAAACATTCTCCCCTCCCTTTGACAAATACTCCTTGGATAAAAAAAAATAGCACTTGAAACAAACAGAAAAGATAGAAATGTAGTGATCCTTAACATAGCAATTCTTTTTCTTCGTCTGTAAGCACGCTAATGGCAATCCTACGTTTTTAATGCGTAATCGAGACATCTTTAAACTACTGCAAATCATCCAAAATGACTTTCTTAAAGGAGCAACCACTTTACTTCAAAAAAAAGGGAGAGGGGTTCTGAGTTCTCGCGCGAAAGTTTATAATTAGTTTTTTTTCGATGGTACCAATTTATATAATATTTAACATGTTTAACACTATAATGTATGGGAAAACGTTTGATTCAGAATATTTGTTCATTCTATAATTGTCTGAATGTCTCAATTTTTTTTTTTAATCTAATTGTGGAAAAATCCACCCCCCCCCCCCCCTTTTTTAAAGTCAAGTGGTCGTTTATTAACTGTAGAAAAGTTGTTCGAAAATTTGAATTCGGTTCTACGTAATGAACATTTAAATGACATATAGTTTACGAGTGTGAACAAATCTTATGTACATGTAACTAAACAAGGTGTATAGATGTGAACAAATTTAATGTGAAACTAGCGTACATTACATTAAACCAAATGTAAACATGTTTACTGTACACGACGTTTGGTGTGAACACGGCCTTAGTGAATTATTTATTTTGTGAATTTTTTTTATATCTACTTCTACTTAGAGTCTTAGGGTGAATATATCCTTTTAGTCTGTGATTCGAACATTTAAAAAAAACGTGTCATCACAAATGACAAATCATGCAAAATGGATGAAACAATTATTTTGCTTCGAATGACTTAATTAAACTTAATATGCTTAAGTTTGTGTTATTCATTGTATTCAATTGCTCGGTATGTTAATTTTACTTACAGATAATACAGACGGTGACAGGCTCTATGGTGTATTGCTAAATAGAAAGATGAATTGTCTATTTTAAGCTTTCTATTTTTAGACATGTGTTAGAACTACAATATTACTACACACAAGAGCACTATTTATAGGGTGACCAGTGGGCACCGTTCAGCGTAACTATTATCCTTGTGCCATTAAATGACTTTTTTTTTATTTCAAAATCTTCAGTAGAAAGGTAATACGGGGCACCGAACGGGACTCTTGTGGTTTTGTACTCGAAATTCAATTTTGTACGGACAAAAGTGAGTTTTGTTCAATAAAAATGAGTTCAGTTTAACAAAATTTGTAGCATACTACAAATTAATGTAAATTTTGTCATACAAAATTATCTTTCAGTGGACAAAAAATAATTTTGTCATGACAAAATTCATTTTTGTATCACAGGCTTTACTTTTGTTACCTAATTTGAAAACTGGGCGACAAAAGTCAATTTTGTATGCAAATTAGTTTAGTTTGGATTCTGTGAACTAATTTGCATACAAAAATGAGATTTTGTCACAAAATTCAATATTGTGTTTATTTTTGTGTAGAAAAAATTGAGTTTTGTTAAACAGAAGTGAAAATTTAACAAAATTCAATTTTGTGTAGAAAAAATTAAGTTTTGTTAAACAGAAGTGAAAATTTAACAAAAGTCAATTTTGTGTCACAAAAGTGATTTTTGTCACGTCACAAAAGTCAATTTTGTGTGACAAAATTCAATTTTGTAACGTCACAATTTTATGTCACAAAAGTCAATTTTGTCATGTCACAAAAGTCAATTTTGTCATGTCACAAAAGTCAATTTTGTGTCAGAATGGTCAAATTTGTGTCACAAAAGTCAATTTTGTCACTTTACAAAAGTCAATTTTGTGTCACAAAATTCATTTTTTTTTTCACAAAAGTCAATTTTGTGTCGCAAAAGTCATTTTTTTTTCACGTCACAAAAGTGATTTTTGTCACGTCACAAAAGTCAATTTTGTGTGACAAAATTCAATTTTGTTACGTCACAATTTTATGTCACAAAAGTCAATTTTGTCATGTCACAAAAGTCAATTTTGTGTCACAAAAGTCAATTTTGTGTCACAAAAGTGATTTTTGTCACGTCACAAAAGTCAATTTTGTGTGACAAAATTCAATTTTGTAACGTCACAATTTTATGTCACAAAAGTCAATTTTGTCATGTCACAAAAGTCAATTTTGTCATGTCACAAAAGTCAATTTTGTGTCAGAATGGTCAAATTTGTGTCACAAAAGTCAATTTTGTCACTTTACAAAAGTCAATTTTGTGTCACAAAATTCATTTTTTTTTTCACAAAAGTCAATTTTGTGTCGCAAAAGTCATTTTTTTTCACGTCACAAAAGTGATTTTTGTCACGTCACAAAAGTCAATTTTGTGTGACAAAATTCAATTTTGTTACGTCACAATTTTATGTCACAAAAGTCAATTTTGTCATGTCACAAAAGTCAATTTTGTGTCACAAAAGTCAATTTTGTGTCACAAAAGTCAATTTTGTGTCACGAAAGTCAAATTTGAGTCACAATAGTCAATTTTGTGTCACTAAAGTCATTTTTGTCACTTTACAAAAGTCAATTTTGTGTCACAAAATTCATTTTTTTTTTCACAAAAGTCAATTTTGTGTCGCAAAAGTCGTTTTTTTTCACGTCACAAAAGTGATTTTTGTCACGTCACAAAAGTGATTTTTGTCACGTCACAAAAGTCAATTTTGTGTGACAAAATTCAATTTTGTTACGTCACAATTTTATGTCACAAAAGTCAATTTTGTCATGTCACAAAAGTCAATTTTGTGTCACAAAAGTCAATTTTGTGTCACAAAAGTCAATTTTGTGTCACGAAAGTCAAATTTGAGTCACAATAGTCAATTTTGTGTCACAAAAGTCATTTTTGTCACGTCACAAAAGTCAATTTTGTGTCACAAAATTCATTTTTTTTTTTCACAAAAGTCAATTTTGTGTCGCAAAAGTCTTTTTTTTTTCACGTCACAATGGTCATTTTTGTCACGTCACAAAAGTCAACTTTTGTGCCACAAAAGTCAATTTTGTGTTAAATTTTCACTTCTGTTTAACAAAACTCAATTTTGTCTACACAAAAAATAATTTTAATTACAAAATCACAGGATGCTAATTTAATCAACATGTTAATTGCGTACAAATTCAATTTTGTCTCACAAAATTGACTTTTGTATTTTAATTTCCATATCAGGTAACAAAAGTCAATTTTGTATGCAAATAAGTTTATATTTGAATACCTATTTGACAAAATAGAATTTTGTCATGACAAAAATGAATTTTGTCTACAAAAATGAATTTTGTCTACAAAAAAGAATTTTGTCAATACAAAATTGAAGTTCTCATAAAACAAGTCTGTATCACACAGTTTTGTAAGACAAACATGATTTTGTTATGACAGAATTGAATTTTGTGTACACAAAATTGATTTTGATAACAAAAAGTTCAAGTACCATTCGGCGCCCCGTAGGTAAAAACTGTAAACAGTGAAAATTAATTGCAAGACCTATACAAAAATGTCACAGTAGGTATAGTGTCCGGCTGGGATCGTTTTTTTTTTTCGAGTGATTTGATAGGGTTTTTTCTTCGAGTGTGACCACGATTTTTCGAGTGAACATGATAAAAAATGTTAACAAACAGACATTTTTTTTATAAGACGTGAAATAGATGCTTATACTTGATATACAAGATCATACAAGGTAAGTTAGTATTGGTGATAAAAAGAAATCATCACCTCTACATTATTTTGTGTTCTAAACGTTTGATTTAGCTTTATAATACTTTTATTCCAAAATATAGAATAAAGATATTTATATACAAGTACCAATGCAAATCTCAAAGGAAATGTATATTTCGAATCTATATAATTATCCTTAGATATACAGACACTTTACAAAAATTCTTGTTATTGTATTAAGAAGGACATTTTTAGAATGAATTCATTTTTATATGTCCGTGTTTTTCCGAGAGCTGTCCGGATTTTTTTGTTCGGTCCAGGTGATGATCGAGTGATTAAATAAAATTACAATGGTTTTAAATGTTATATATCAGTGTGATTACGTTTTAAAAACAATGAAAAAGGTTCAAATAAGGTACTTTTTAAAGCACGAAACCAATGCATTTAACTAGTTTGATAATACTGTAGTTCGTAACAAGTACATTCGTAAAAAGCATTGTATACTAGTATTTGTATATATTATTGTTTGTCACATCTTATAAATTGCATGGACACCGGCATTGGTATATTTGGATAGATCAAACATGTCCACGCCCATGAAAATATGGTGGAACTATCCAACAAGTCAACGCCAGGTGTCATATGGTATTTTGAACCCCATGGAAAATTGACCCCGGGGTCAAAATACCGCTATGGTAAATTGAACACCCCCCCCCCCCCCCCCCCCCCTGTATGGAAAATTGACCCCCATGGTAAATTGATCCACCCCTGTTTTTTTTCATTCTAGATGATTATTAGAACATTATACATTATTTTAAAGCTGATTGTAGATTGAAAATCAGACATACAAAAAAGGGAGGTCAATTTTTCATGGTAGGTAAACAAAATACAATGGCTTAGTATAAGTGCTCTGAAGTCTTTACCAACATAATTTCATTCAAAATACTTATTGAAGCATTGTAACTATACCATGTAGCTTAAATGCTTTGATTATTTGAAATCCTAACATATAAAGGGAGTTAAATTTTCCATGGTAAAAAAGGGGGAGGGAGTCAAATTACCATGGCTCAGTAAAATAGTCAAAACATCTTTTTCAACATGTTTTATATATACCATATATTTATTAGAGTACTAAAACTTTGAAAAGCAGTTTGAAATAATTCGATTTTTGAAATTGGAGGTGTATAGACAAGGGGGTTCAATTTACCATGGCAGGGGGTCAAAATATCAAGGTTAAGTAAAATTGTTAAAAAATCTCTTCTAACATGTGACAGATATACCAAATACTAGTTACAGCATTATAACTATGTAAGATAGTTTGAACGTACATGATTTTTTGAAATTTGAGGTATATAGGAGGGGGTTCAATATACCATGGCAGGGGGTCAAAATACCATGGCTAACTTAAATTTTTGAAACGTCTTTTCAAGCATGTTTAATACATACAAACAACTACTTATTGGAGTATTATTACTATGTAAAGGAGTTAGAATAGCTATAATTTTTGAAATTGGAGGAATACAGTAGGGGGTTTAATATACCTTGGCAGGGGGGTCAAAATACCATGGCTAAGTAAAATTTTCAAAACATCTTTATAGGCATGTTTAATATATGGGTCATTATAAGAAAAAACATGCATATTTCGATGAGGGAAATTTCGGGAAACTGATGTCATTGTTTTAAAAATTAAAATATGTCCTGCTATTCTGAAATATGGTAGCAACTATATTCAGAAATATGCAATGGGGAAAAATAGGAGTTCCTTCAATTTTAACAATTTTAGGTCATCCTTTGATAGAATCATGTCAATGGTGTTACCAATATAAAAACATGCATTTAGCTATTAAAAAACATATTTTTTTTAAAACCAAACAACTGTTCCAATTTGTTGTTAAGGGTTAAATTACTACTTATAGACATTATTTTTATAGGTATGCATTCTATTTGAACATAAATTTCAGAATAAATTGTTGTAAAAAACATAGCTGTCCTAATTATGGCTGTTGTTAATATGAAAGTATACACTAAAACTGAATATATGTAAAATGTGTAAGACTGAAATCAATACCTAATAAATCCTTCGTATACAGCCTAAAAAAACTTTCATTTGTTAATAAAAAATAGAAATTATTGCATTTTTATATATTAACACCACTGACCCTTCAGTAACTACAATGACAAAAAAGTATCACCATTGACAACAAAGTTCAAATTTTACTTTTATTAAGTACTGAACACAAAACAAAGAACACTAAGCAAAAGAAAAAAAAAATAATTCTTATGCTAAAAAATCCCAAATTATATAAAATAACATCAATAACTAAAAATGTCAATAGTGTTACTAAATAGTGTCATTTGGTGTTGCCAGCATACACCAGTTTGTGAAAACTTGGTATAGGTAATACATTATATTGTTAAAACATTGTTAAATAAGTATTAAAT